GGAATATTGACTTAAACTTCTATGTAACTCTGCACCGAAACTGTTCAAACCACAACAGTAAGATCTACTGTGGTTACAGTTTCATTGCAGAGTTACAGTGCAGTAACCACTTCCCACTATCGACATTTTTTCCTGCCGCCTGGTTGATGTTGAAGTCATCGACTTGCATTCGCGTTACCAGGCTTTCGTCTTTTTCCACAGCCGCTAAAAGGGCCTGGTCCTTAGAATTTGAAAGCCATCCTTTCCTTCCTGATTCTCAAGGTTTGTGTCGCTCATTAGGACCTCTTGAACCATCTCTCAACTTGGTTTTGGCTGATTGTTCCATCCATCGAGAAGTTCGTTGAGATCGTGAAATGAATTTTCCGCCTTAGAGCCATTCTCGTATAGATAAAGGACAGCGTGGCTACTACGAAGATCATTTTTTAAGCGAAGAAAGCAAGAAGATCATTTCTACTGGAATCCCATCTAAACTTCAGATGCGTCACGAAAAAAAACGCGAAGAAATCCTCAGTAATTATGCATTAACCTAATAGTTGTTTTTTCACCTTCGTGAACTCTTCTAATTGTTAAATTAAATATAAAGATCTTAGGAGCTCAGCCGTAGATCTTCGGTGTTAATCGATCCCGTTTTAGGACAAATCCTAGAATCTGACTTCCATTCAGAATCGTAGTGGCGATCTGAACGTGTATGTGGCCTGTACAATTGATTGCGGTAGCTAGCCGATGAGCATGTGAGTTCTTTTGACTTGCTGGACGAATTTGGAACCATTTAATAGATCAAGGATGATGAAAGGTTTGGTTGTCCTGTAGAAGCACTGACTCTTGACCGTGCGTGTGAAAGGGTGCACTCACTAGCCACCACAGCATCTTCTACCTCTCTATAAAGTATTGTCTTTGAAAATCACCGATTTTGATTGAAAGCTGAAGCCTTTACGAAGAAATTTTATTTAGAAGTATTTAGCCTATTCAAGAACATATGCAATGGGCGTAGAAATGTCCCAGAAATCTAAAGAATCCTGTGAGGGATCGTCAAAGCGGACAGTCAAACTGGGATCGTAAGAATTCCTGTAGAAATAAGGCAATGTGTCAGACATCAACTGAACTCTATCGCTGAAAAGTCTCACAAGGCGAGTTATAGGCACTACTTCGGCCTCAAAGGGACTCGGACCCGTACTTGTGATTTCGGGCACTCCCTTACGATTCACGTCCGAGGAAGAAGCTTTCCCTACAACTCGCCGAACTTTTGAGACCTCCCGTTCGCCGCGGCGAAAAGATGGCAGGTAATACAACATCAAGTTAAAACTATCGGCAAAAACCTTCAGGTAATCTTCTACAAAGATGGCCAAAATTTTCGAAGAACTAGCACTTACTTCTGAGGAATCGCAGTAAGCAAAGTTGTTATATAATTAGGAACACTGGAATGATAATTATCACTTCAATGTTGCCACATGAGCCATAAAAGTTATATTGCTAGGTCCTCATCCGTGCTGGACTACGGTCATTTCGAATTTTATTATCGATCGCAGTCGTTTAGCACTCACTTGGTGATGAGCGATCTCTTACAAAGGCGTTAATACCGTCAGATACGTGAAATCCGATAGCTACGTTAGACTGTCGGGATGGCTTTATGAGAGGTCAATCCCCCATCCTTCATTTACATCACTTAAAACGCAATAAGTCCATTGGAATGTAGTTCTGATGCTTTTGAGCTCATTGATGAACCACTTGTATTTGGCCAAGTGGGAATGGTGATTAGTTGAAGAGAACCAGATAGTAAAGCCAAGGGTCGGTGTCTGTGGGTCAGATGGTCTCTTCAATGAACAGACCATGCATAAGTGTGTCGCTATTCGTGACCCATTAGGAGATCCATTCACGAACGATTTGAAAGAGCTTCCCAACAGCCGATACCGCTCTATTCGATCTGAATTGGCTACGCTTTCACTCTGCACTGCTGACACCGCGTACAGTAATTTATTCGTGTAACAGAGCCTTTGTTACGCTGATAATTACTCTCTCAGATTGACACCTCCGATGGTTGAGGCAAAGTGGCTGCTATTAGAAGATTCTCCACTCGGCTCTAAGCGAGTCCAAGAGGACCATAGCCAAATGTTTGTTGGCCTCAGATTGATTTCAGCTGAAGCGTTTCCGACTGGCCATCATGAGCGTTACGTAATCGGGGCCCTGAGTAAACTTACAACATATGCCACCTGTGGGCAGGTCGAGTTGTGCTTAGGAACCAGAACCCAGTGACTGTATTGTACAGAAAGGAGCACATGCCGCGATAAACAAGCTGATGCTTTTCCTTGTGCTAAGAAAAAGGTTTTGAAAAGAGAACAGTGAGGAATGGCAAAAAAGAGCATTCTCGAGGTTTTTCTTTCACACATACCGAAATCTGTGATTACCCGTAACACCTAGAACTCACCCTAGAAATTACCAGTAACACTGTTTTGACCACTGATTGAATTTACAGATCTAAAATGGTTTATGGCGGCCTTTGACCCGACACTTTCATTTCATATATACAACTGCTCTGTGGCAAGAATTTCGTGGAAGAAGGTGAAAACGGTGGGTGGTTGTTGGGAAAACGACTTTTAGGACATAAATACATAGTGCATAATTTTTTTAAATGTTGTCCTCCACAAATACTCGGTTTCGAAAATCACCCTCCCGGTTAGTTCTGCACATCATAACACCTTTTGAAAGCTTAAAGATTTTAGTTCCTGCCTAAACGAACTGAAACTTCCCAAATGGATAAGTATTTGAAAAGGTCATCTACATATTGGGCGTTTGCAAAAAGGAAAGGCACCGGACCTTCCTGGTATGGTCCTCTTTCGTTACTGTTGTGTAAGTCAGAAATGTTTGGTCAAGACATCAAAAGTCATAAATTTGAAAACGCCCCAACGACTGTTTTGTCATGGCTGAGCAACTCTGTCAGTTCTACGCTGGAGAAAAACTTACGAACGTTTTTTTCGATCCTTAAGAATAATGGTCTGGTGCTATAACGAGTGAAATCACTAGGACCGCAACACTGTCGTAGCTCGTGAACCGAAGTACAGTCTCGTGGGCACTAAAACATCGAGTTATAAGTCGGCTGACTATGGCGGACCAGCAGTTTAATAAACTGTCACTACTTCCACAGCGAATAATGCGGGGTACCGCCAGGACCACAACAATGGGGTAGCTCATGAACAAACAGTCGGGCTCATAGGAGAGTCGGCTCAAAGTCGACTGATCCTTGTGTTCATTGAACTGTCCCTACTTTTGAAATGTAAGTCCTGTACTTGCCCATCGTATAAAGGATTGGCTAACGTGTGGTGCTCCTCCTTTGCATTCTACCCTGATGATCACCGAGTAAGAAAAAGAACCTCTGGATTGAACATGGTACATTTCGGATTGGAAAACAAGCAATTGACCCAGGCGCTGTTCCTCTTAGATATCATTAGTCTCATGAATCCCTTCCATGATATTCAGGCCATCATAAACAGTTCAGAGCCGTTATCGGGAGACTGCAAAGAATTCTAGATCTTTTCCCTTCCAAAATTGTTGTGTAACACTTGTCATCGCTACTACAGCTAGTATTTACCTTGCTTTTTTATGAACAAGCAAAACGAATGTTTATAAAGTGATGCTCCGTCAAACAACAGACTATACCAGGACGCTCTCCATACCATATCACCTACCTGCCCAATCACCTTGGAACCACCTCCAGCTGGTTAGGTTCTCATAAATTCAAAGGCTCTATAGGCTATTGTTACTGTACGATGGATACCGCACAGCTCCAATTCACTTCACAATTGGGCTTGTGAGTGGTTTTCAAATCTAGCCAAATTGGTGGTACACCTTTCCCCACACCGCGAGTTAGCCCTGAACATTTGAAGCGGTGCGCCATGAGCAGTGAAATGATTATTTTTGTGAAAAAAAAGTTGCCTTACTCTTATAACCTGAACCTGATGGGACCTTATGGGTGCTTTCCGAGAAAGTTCGACGGATCAGACTGGTAATGTACCAAGCAAAAGCAACTCACTGGTCTTAACCTCACTCCTGACATAGAATTTCGACTCATCGTTGAAGTTAGTCACCTTTATTTTTTGAACTCAATTTCCAGATTTCAAGATCGGTATGACCTTCCTCTTTCCTTCCTGTGGCTAAAAAGTTTTATCTATTCAAGCATATGTAGGTTGCGTCCTCTGTTATTCCTTCAAAGTTGCAGCGAGCATGTGTCCTCATCATCAACAGATTACAGTATTCTTTTGAGGAACCGCTTGCACAAATACATGATGCAAGGGGATTTTCTCAAAGTGGAGTCTTGCAATAATAATGGGCCCTTACAGGAAGTTACGGTACTTTGTTTGTTTAACGATAATTTTATGGTTAGGGTCTTCTTTCGAAGATCGTTATCGCATCGCGCATATGAGAGGTAAACGGCTAGCGGTCACTTCGTATTAATCGTTTGCGGAGTTCAACAAGGTCGAAAAATATTCGAAATCTTTTCTCAACAAAGCCATGGCGGTCCTTGAACGAATGATTTCTTTCCTCGGAAATGGTCTGTAGAAAATAGTCGAGAAGTACCCCTTATTGTTGGGAGGAGGATCCCGTCACGAAAACTTTTCCCTACCTCATACTTTTCCTTATTACTTCCCATTTCGAGCACTGAGTAAAAATTCTATATCACATTGTTCCCTTGGCTTTGGGCTGGCTTTGACATTCCTTCAAGCCGCCAACACATTCGCCAAACCTCACACCTCACACTTTCTGCCCATCTGTGGTATGCTCCCGGTATGTACCGTTCCTACCCCCAGATGGAACCCCACCGACTTGCGAAGTGTGTAGCTGTTCACCTTCCACGATAATTTGTCGCGCATCTGCCGTCGGCCACGAGTACTCACGCGCTGATGCCGACGTCGATACCATCCCCGGTTGGGTGGGGGCGGGGCAGAGGGCGGGCCTCCACCGAGTACCTCTGCATATTCAAACAGGCACGGGATTACTGCCAAGAAGTGATGTCCTGCCTAGCTATCACCTTCATCGGTCCCAAAACCAAAAATGGACGCAGACTCTTTGAAAACTTCGTTGAAGCGAACAAAAGCAGCTTCTGGAACAGGTTAGTACCGTCATTGCCCTTATTCCTTTCTTTTCTCAACAGATTCTTTTCAGAGAACTTGTTGAAGCTGTTGATTCGGTGATCTATATGGGATTCATGCGGCCCTCTACGTTATTCGTCTCAGGACCCCAGATTCACCTTCAAGCTGTTCGAACTGCATGGGCTCGTCGTGTACTGAAACCAGCAGAAGGTTACTCGATTTCATCTCTGGGTGAGTCTTTTACTGTGTAAATTGGGAGATGACTACAGGTGATATTGCTTGTAGCCTCTTGACTTAGTTCCCACACCGATCCACTGTCCTAATCCACAATGAGTAAAGGGGCTATTGAACCTGGTTAACCCACTCTTTACCGCTCCTTTGATGTTATCGAGGAATTCTTGTCTTGTCTCACAAAACTTCACCACCAAATCCTGTATCCTTGCTGGAAGGGACTTCGGCTTGTAGGCGGCGTGGCTTTGATGCTCATCGTTTAGCAGCGCCATGTTGTGCTAATTGTACACTATAACCACCACCGTAACACCTTGAGGTCGCCAGATTTATGGTCTAATTGTGATCAAATTGGCCGCTTTCCTCATTGAAAAAGTACGGTCTCACTAGGGTCTCGTTGACATCTCATTGGATTCCATCTTAGCACTTTAGTTCCTGAAATATTGGATCGATTTTAATGCATATCATCAGTAACTACTCAATAATGAAGACTAGCCAAAATCTGGGCGGTGTAAAGCTAAAAAATGCCCTTTTTCGAATGTATGGAAGCAAAAGGGATACTCTTTTGTGACTGAAGTTCACAAAGCAAAAGCACCTTTAGAAGCAAGCAGTTTCAAGAGGGTTGGTAAGGCGCAGAGTTACCGTACCACTGGAGATGGAAAAATTTTGAGTCCAAATTAGGGAAAGTAATTGGGCAAATGCCAAACTGTTCCTATGACCTTCAGAAATTATTTTGTACTGAATTCCTCCATTCCCATTGATTCTCTTCGTGCCTTCAATACTGGCTACGTCTTAGTCCGAATCGAAGTCGAATTTTTTGACCAAGCGGTTTGAGAGGGCTTGACAGATGCACCTGAGAATACAGAAGAAGTAATTTATGTCTATAGTTGCCGTCTTCGAAATCGTTGCCACTACCAAGTAAAAAGTCGAAGTACGCCCCAAATACCCCCAAATACTGGTAGCAAGCTGCCTACAGTACTTCCAGAGCCTGACTGGGTAGTGGGTACAAGGAAACCTCTGACCTTGAGCGCATCTGATCGTAATGTTCCATCTCAAAGACTTGCATGACAGAAACATACGTAAAACCTGGAGCTGATATATGACAGCGATTACGTCAATACAGCTAATTGCTTCCTTTGGTGAGTTCTGCGCGACTGGGCCCGTACGGGCACCTGTTGGTGGAGCCGTGCAATGCGATACGCTTGTACAGGTGCCGAGCAGATGGCTGTGTTGGTACTTGTCCTCACGATACCAAAGATAAGAGCACAACATTACGACACACCAAAGCTCCCACATATTTTGCGGATTTTCAGGTGAGATGGGCGCAATACAGACAGTGGAGCAGATGCAGTTCGTGCCACTGGCCGACGTACTCTGCGATGCTATCGTGAGCCTGAATCGAGCCGGTCAAGCCACTACAATCCACGCTGTTCGTCAGCATATCATCCGAAATTGTGCCTATGTTGCTCCTCCGTCAATGGATATGGTCAAGCAGACAGTCACCAATCTGATAGCCACTGGTCTCGTCTACAAGATGGGCGATCACCTGTTCGTCTCCGTACCAGCACAGGTTGAACCAAAAGCAAAGGTGAGTGAAAAGAATGTCCTAGCTCTCTGTGAATGAACCAGGGCAATGAAACAGTACAAGTGGAAAATTGAGCCCGTAAAGACTGCGGTAATCCTCACTGGATCATTGGGTAGCTTTCAATACCAACATAAAGTCCGGAGAAAAACGTGCCCCTACCCTTTCCTGCAGTGCAAAGTATTAGGAAGTATTTGGGTAACACTCAGCACTTCACCTCACCTATCCTCATACAGTATGGGAGTTCTACGGCGTATTATTCCTCCGCATTCAAGAATAGCTGCACTCATTTGGGGTGAGAGTGTTCCCCCCGTACCGTCTTGGGAAAATGATCGCAAAAAGAGTCACAATGAGACACCGCCTGTAGATATGGGAAATATTCCCAGGCAGAAGCGATTCAAACAGTCAGTACAGAATAGGTAATGTGCGAAGGAAATACTGGACTGCATTCCAAGTTATTATGCTAAAAAGCAGTCAAGTTCAAGAGTCGTGGTCGTGGTGGGACCGCGCAAAATGTCCTCCTCATTCCAAGGCTTCGCCCGAACAAATGTGGTGATCCGCAAAACCAAAGTCGACTCAAAATCCAAGAAAAGTTACACATACCCACTATGAAAGTGTCTGTTCAGGTGGCAGTGGAGTGCCAGACGGGCATGTCGATCATCGCTCACGATGAGCCAGAGAAAAAAGACCGCTTTGGCTTCATCACCCGCATCTTCTCAAAGAAACACCAACAAGCTAAGGACGCGCACCCACCCTCACTTCCCGTGAAACACGCCGTCGATTGGAACGAAAAAATTCTGGCGCCAACTGCGTGCAGGTGAGTTGTTTGCGTCAATCTGCCTCCCCAGACTCGAATCGCGGCGCCTCCGGCATCGATTCTGCCCTCGATTCTGTCCCGGATTGACAACCTGCTCCGTTTACTCACTCACTTGCTCCATGCACTACCCACTTTCTCTCCTACTGTGTCCTTGGGTAAGAATCTTAACTCTCTGGGATGAGCAGGTGTCAAGTTTGGCAAGTGGTTACTCGAGTTAATTAAAAGCACCAGGGGGTTTCACAACTCACCCTGCTCCATTGTTCTTGATTGTCCCCATTTGCCCTTAGTGAATAGCATCGATCTCTCTTAATTAGCGTGAGTTGAATGTCACAATATGTCAGTATGTCTACTGAGAGTTGCCAGAAGTAATGCCATGATCGATGTTCTGAGATTCCAACATTCATCATCTCCATTTACATCCATCAGTTGATTCGATCTTTATCTCCTGAGAGAGTCATAACGGAATGCTAGTTTTTTTTTTGTCTACTAAGCGCTTCTTAGAAACGCTCTGAATGGATAAGAATTACAGTTTAGCTAAGAACAATTTGGATTTTTTGTTTTTTCGTCTCCACCCTATTTTTGGGCGCGGAAGGTGCTTATTAATTATTCCGTAACTTCTAACAAACCCGTCTTTGTGTTAGGACCAAGATCTCTGTTGTAATCAAGTGCAAGTGAAATTTGACACCGATTAGAATCGTATTGAGCGAAGTATTGTGCAGGATTGCGTAACTGAGCGAAACGTCATGCTTAATTGCCGACTTGCGCATCCTCGTTGGCGACCCCGTTCCATTCGTATCTTCCAGATATCAGACAACTCAAAGACAGACGCATCATGTCACAGAAAGGATTGAACATCGTCGTCATCCGAAATGCGAGCGAATTCAAATCACCTCATCATCGGAGTGCCTCGATTACGGTCCAATCGACCCTCCTGAATGCCTGCCTGGAAAGGTTGAAGGTATGAAGGTCCATTCAAATCACTGACTTAGTTTCTTTTTTCAGGAATTACGGGTCGGCCTCGAGGTAACACATGACCCTAGCTTATTATGTCAAATAGGGCATCCATTGGTTTGATAATGGCTACCATTATTTAAAGTCATTACAGTTATCGAAGATCTGCACAGTCGTCGCAAGCGTCGTATAAAACGAAAGGAAATCCGTACATCTACACCAGTTGAAGCTTCGGACTCAGCTTATTCTGTTTCGCCAGTTCAGACAGACTCAAATGAAGAACCAGGCAGCTGGAGTGAGCCTGATGAAAATAAGGTAGTTTGAATGTGTCCGATTGCTAGCCTAATTTCGGAGATACCGTGATGCCTACATGTCGTAAATCGCTATTATCTCCAGGAGCATCACACGTACATGAATCTTGCCGCAACACACGACTCCACCCAGTTCGAGGAAGTGCCGACAATTATCTGTCCCTCAGGACGCCAACAATACTTTCCAAATCTATAATGGCAATTGTTTCATGTGCACTTGTGAGTAATCTCCTAGTCGAGGCGTCATGTCGTTGCCGTTCATTGGAATTGATCAATGCAGCAGTGTCACTACACACTTCTTTCTTTGTTGATGTTCAGATTCGCAATCTTTCTCCTTCTTTTCTTAATTCAGTGCATGTGATTGTTTGTTATCTGTTATAATAGCTTTTGAAACATGTACAAATACATCAATATTATTTATTATATAAATCTTTGATAACAATATTTATTTTCGCGATCACATTAGGCTGGTGTGATTCCACTACTCGAGTACGGTAGTTTTTCGAATTAGTCCAAACATAAAGCATGTGTGTGTATAGGCGCCAGGGTGTTTATGCATATCCGGCAGGTGCTTGTGTAATCTCAGGCTTTACAACAAATAGGATATGGCGCTCGTGGCGTGTGACGGTCTGACGCCTAATAGGGTACACTAGGGATTGAATAGGTCTGAACGCAGCACGAACGAACGAACGGCGTTTTGTTTGCTGTTTTGTGTCACATAGAAGGAACTGCGAATCTTATCTATAGAGTCATCTTGCCTACCTTGAGATGACAACCATCTCGCGATATTCGACGCATCAATCAGTCTTTGGCTACGGTCTCATCGAATGTTGAATGAATGATTTTGGTTTTTGCAGTGCCCAACAGTTTCGTAATACCTGACAGCCGACATTCGTGGCCCTTTGGTTCGAGGGCTGTTCGTTCCCATAAGTCTCAAAAAGTACCTGTGAGTTCGATGAGGGGCAAAATAATCCATTTACAGAAGTAGGTCAGGAATAATTTGTATTCTCCGGCAGCAGGCTTACGTTCACTATTAATGGATTGGTTTTTGATTTGCTAACTCTTAATATTTCCTGATATCGTGACCTATAACGTATCATCACCTCATTCACAAATGCTACCGTAACTTTCGTAGACATCGAAGTAAGAGTAAACTGGTATGCAAAGTTTGAGTGGGTAATCGATAAGTTCGAACAAGTGGTGGGTTAGAGCGATTGACGCCGTATATGGATGATTTCTAGTCGATGGTTGATTCAACAATGACACTCTACATAGCGTGACTCAACTTCCCACTATAAATCAGGCTGCCCCATTCTTGTATGCTTTATTTCCAACCTGAGAGGAAGAGTCAGTTACAGAGGATAACGCCAAACTAGCTATCTAAAAAAGATTATGAGGGCTTTCACGCTGAACTGAGCTTTCTTTGAAATTGGGAGCTAGTTTGGCGTTTTTTCTTTGAAACACTTTTTTCCTGTTTCTACTTCTTAATTTTCTGAAGAAATCTTTCGAATGTTGAAAAATCGAGAAAAATGGAACATGGGCGAACATGACACCCGAGTGAGTAGTTCCTTGTCGAGTTTTCATACAGCCGCTTCCAGACGTGGTCATCTTCCATAACTTGCACTATGCCTTCTCATTTTCTCTAATTGACCTTCCTTTTCTTCTAAGAAATGGCTAAGGTCTTTCCTCTCACAAGCCTTTCATCCTACTGAAAAGGAAAGAAATCCTAGCCCCAGTCCAATAAATAATTAAGGTGTGTTCGCAAATGAATGGAGGAAGTACCGGAACAAGAGCTGCCAGCCGCCTACGAATGGTTTGCCGATCAAATCGCTGGTCATCACCCATCTGTAATCAAAAATGGTAAAAGGGAAATAGGTATGTGCACACTCAGTTCCTAAACAATCATTCTCTCCACAGTTTTGCTTGCTGCCACACCCATTTTGTTTGCGCAGGTGCTGTATCTCATTCAAATATCCGTTGATTGCTCTGTGATAGAGATTTTACCAGCATAATTCAGGTCTTTTAAAGAAACGTGGTAGTGACAAAATTTTGAAGCCGAAGCAGGAGGCGTTCCGAGGAGAGTGTGAGGTAATCTTGCATAAGATTGTGTGGGAATATAATATTTCACTTTTTCATAATAATGCATGAAGGTAGCTGCACATAAGCAACTACCTCATTCTAGGAAAACCGTTTTGTTTTAAAACGCTTTTTAATTCAGTCGTTAGGTTGGGGCGTCCACTTCACCTTGTTTTTTTCGAAGTAAACCATTCCTAGTTTACTTGTTTCTGCTAGAAGGGTTTTATTTAAATTTTCTGTCTACAGATTAAGCTCTTGCGAGAGTTATAGATCTCAAAAGTATCTAAATAGAATAGTGATGGTGATGTCTCAACGGATGTCCTTCGTCATCATGTACAAGTAAATGACGCAACTAGGTAAGAGCGACATCTTCAGGTCAATGTCTACAAGTTGCTGGCAAGGACGTTGCGTCACTCGACTTCCGGAGACATCAGCGATGGCAGCTCAGGCGATGCTGAGTCAGTTGATGAGCATATCTATGTATGCAACTAACAAACTGATTGACTAGATCAATCCTTTTAGTTCAGACGGATGGCCTGCAAGTAGTATGGAAGATGCTGAAGGTCTCACTCGTATGACACCACGATTTTATGGGCTAACTACCGTTCCTATCGACAAGAAAGGTAGCTTGTTGAACTTCGAAAGCGCATTTCTTTCATGTGTAGACATGTCGGCGATATTGCAAACCGTGACTGAAGTTCTTTTCAACTTTCTGGTAGTTTTTCTGTGCCTCCGTGCCTCAAAGCTCCCATTTTAGATGTCGATTTTCTCATACTGGAAGACGTGACATCTACGTACACTCTGCCAGCAATTCTAGACGTTAAAATGGGCAGAATCACGTTTGATCCCTTAGCAAACGCCGCCAAGCGAGAAAAGGAAGAACGTAAATATCCACCACAAACAGTTCTAGGATTCAGGCTTCTCGGATACAGGGTAAGGAACACGGTAGGGGATATCTTCCTTACAATCGGTATCGTGTCGTGTTTCGAACCATTTCAAATGATTGGTGAGCTATACATGACAGGTGTCACTTGCGACAGAGGAGGGAAACGAGTTCGCTAAAGACACGGTGATCATTCCGCAACAGCTGGGGGTCGTTTCCGCCGTCTTGGTTCGAATCTCACGCCTCCACATGGCAACAGTCATGTCAGAATGCGATCCCGCGACCCTTCTGGCTAATTACCGGTTAGCCGGTTACAGTTGAAGCGATTCGCAGAAGGAGAGCCGCTGTTTACGACCACAAAAGATGCCGCGAAACGATAAAGAATTTACTTTCCGGCCGTGGATATGCCCAAGATGCTTATTAACCTGCCAAGGCAGTTTTCGAAAGCGCCAAGCACCCATTCCCTTTACTTCATTGAAAATTTGGTTAGTTCGGGCATAGCTCAACTTGATTGCAATCTCTTTTTAGCTCGTTTCAGATGCACTGCAAGAATGGGAAAATCGTTGTCAAAGATAAAGAATGGGGAAAAAGCTTCGATGAACACAACATTCTTGATGGTATGCTTGTGCAATGCTGTAGGTTGCGGATGAGCTTTCCATTGCTTCCAGGTCTTCTCGAATTCTTTTCTGGACGAGGAACCGATCCAACATTGATATCAGAAGCGTTGTCCAAATTAAATTATGTGCGGGAGTGGTTCGCCAAGCAAACATCATTTCACTTTTATGCATCATCACTTCTATTCGTGTATGAAAACGATCTACAGAAACCACCAAATGTTCATTTGGTAATGATAGGTGAGCAGCTTTAATCCGAAGATTTTCCTTTCCTAAGGACTTTGAAAAGTAGCATTTTCAGATTTTTCCCATGTATTCCCATCGAATAATCAATTGGATACTAATTATATCGCTGGTCTTAATGTGCTACATTCCAAGATGGAGATTATTTTGAAGAAATTTACATCTACATCAGCATCTCAAGCCTCGACACATTGATGTCACCGAACTTACCACTTTCTTACTCATATGCATTGGATGTATGTATCGCGTAATGCGTCCTTAACCTTCAAATGTAAAAAGTTGTTGTTTATCCAGATATTTGAAACAAATGAAATGCTTTTAAAAAAGGTTAATTAATGTATAAGCTGTACGAGCGGTAGCAGCCATTAACATTCAGATTCAAAATGAGAACATAAGGCAAGTGAGAAGAGATTAACACGCTATATGGGACAAGTGGTATGAGTAGAGCTCTACTGCAAACACCACTCATTATGCCCGTTACACAATGATCTACTATTGACCCATGATTCATTGGTACGAGGTAAGAAGGTGATATCAGGAAAAGCTCCAGCTGGGTAGACCTGTATGGACAGTAGAAAGAAAGAGCAACAAAAGAGAAACCAGAAAAGGAGAAATCTGCTCACAGACTCAAGCCTTCGCAAACTGCTCTTCCACCACTTCCATAGTATTGAGATCCAGCAGAACGATTGATTGAGTGCGAGAAAAACGAGGAATAGAAATTAAACGGCATTTTTCTCCATTCTCTCCTTCAAACCAGCCAGATTCCAGCGATGGTTGATTTCCGACAACCATTACATGGGGGAATTCATCGTCAATTATAAATGGATCCCTGAACTCAGTGTTTTCCTTTTATGAGCACATCTATAGTCAGCAGGAAGACTGTGGGTGAAAAGGACTAACTACAAGATGGTGGTCTCACCGTTTATCAAAGGGAAATCCGTCGACGGTGTCGGGGCAAGTTGGGGCAAGGTGTTGCCAACGAAGAATGAGCTTCATTAGGTCACAGCTCGAGCTCACTCCACTCAAACGTCGTAGATCAGATATAATTCGACCTGGAACAGAACTTTACAAAACCCGGAATGTAGCCTTGGATACTACGATTCTCCGTAGCAAATTTTAGTACAATCGAGGAATGAAAACAACCAAGTTTGGACTGCATTACGGTAACAACTTCGAGCTCATGTTCGTCTGTTCGTATAAATCATTCTCTGTGATACGCGGAGCGCGGTTATAGAATTAATGAGCATAAACGTCTTTGGGTTGAAGGACGCGCAACGAGCCGCTAGAATGATCGCGAACTACGCAATCCTAATTATCTATTACGGACGGATGCGATAATTATTACCTCTTCACCGCTATAAATTTAATAAGATAAGAATACGAGACAACGGAGAGGTTTGACTGGAGGCTGTAAAAGTTGAAGAAGTCACCGGATGTTGCCAAGAAATCCAGGTCGTGCATTGTGAATTGGTAGGGATTGGTGGGAAGTGTGAGATTGGATCCAGGTGCAGAGGACTTCGGTAGACAGGCGCGATGGATCGGTTGCTGAGGTAGTTGTTGTGTGCACGGATCTCCAAGGCCAGGCACTAAATCCACTTTCACTTTGTCCTGAAAACGAACAGTCCCGATCAATGTAACAAAGGACAAATCTGAAACAATTGATATTTTCTCGAGATTCTCGAATAAACTAACAGTTAAGATTAGTTGTCCTTAAGATTACGACTGTACAAAAATTCTCTCTTTATTAGGATTTAGCGAGAACTCGAAGTACGCCATCTGCTTGAAAGTGATGGAAGTGACTGTATGAAACCTTATTATCACCTTATTACAAGTCAATAGACTTCAAAGCCTACGATCAAGGTTTATCCTCTAGCGGACACCTGCTTCTAGTGACCCTTACTGACTTCTCGTCCTGCGGCATTTTTTCCCACACCTGGATAGTGCCTTTAGCTATTCCTTTTTCTCAAATCTTCCCACTACAAACACGCCGTTAGCGCGCTCTGTATACATGAGCGAATAAGTAAATAAATAAACAAATAAATAAATAAATAAACTCCTCAGTGTTCACTATTTCTGGAGATTTTTCGTCTATTTTTTGCAAACTTTTTACAACTTTCGTTTATACTTTCGTTTCAAATGACATCTTAAGCATTGATGCGTTCGGGCTGTACCTATTGAACGTCGTAGGTACTAGCAACTCAGCAATCTTCTTTAGCAAAAAACAGAAAGATTTTAATTGGTTCCAGAAATTTTTTTCATCGATTGCCAGGGAAAAGCTCTTGTGTGGCAAAGCNTTTTTTTCTGACGGACTATACCGGCCAAAAAATGCACCTATATTTATCACATGGTGACTAATCACCACCTCATATAAATCACATCCACAAAGGGACAGCATGCATGCATGCCTGGCTAATTAGGGTGTCAGATGTGAAGCTCTCTGCCAGGAAAAATCTGACATTAATCCTTTGATAACAGCTTTGCGCACATATAAAGCAAATGGCATCAAGCCTTCGAAAGGCTGGGAACACCCGCTAAATCGGCTCACTAACTGGATCGTTCCACTTCAAGGCACTTCGATCTAAAGGCATTCGTTACCAAAAAGGAGCTTCCAAGTGTTCTGTCGTACTTAACACCTTCACTATCCAGCGCATCTATCGAAAACATCGTGGCTGAGTCGGAGCGGAAGGATGTGGGTATGGAGATTGCGCTGTCTTTGGCTCTCGAGCGGCATCCTTCTCACGACAAGAACGTAAATCGGGAGAGCAAAGGTTTGGCGGATGGAAAAGTCGATTTACAACCTGAAATATGAAAATGATGGAGAGGGAATAGTGAATTTCTTGCGCTCCATTTCGCCCAACATACGGCTGAGAGCACGAAGTGAGCATTATGAAGAACTTGGCCCATTAAGAATGAGTGGTTGTTGCTTTATGCAGTTGGCGGTGGAGAAGAGTACGAGATTACTGGATGCATCGAGCAATAGCACGAAAGAAAATTTGTATCGAAGTCATCTCAATCAAGCCAAAATATCGGGCTATTTCAGTGTCTTTTCTCATTGTTAGGAAGTAGAGTAGCAGAATGATCCAATGTTCTTATCGAAAATTTTTGTGAGATCTTAAATAGCGCTATTACTCGAAGACTCGCTCAAAGTTGCCCCCTCCTCACCCTGCTTACAGCCGCCCAGCTTTTCGGGCGAGGACAATTTTATCAGTCAGGGTCAGCTACCACAACACACCCCAGCCTCTTCCATGATGGTTACAAGCACATCTTTGTCTGAAATGAAGAAAGCTGGCGCTGATCGGCTGTTAGTCAGAAGGTGACCCTCTGAGTTATTATCCACCGCTGATGATTAACGAAAAGAAAGTCTATCAGCACAAAGCCTGAATAAATAAACAAAACAAAAATAGACAATAGGCAGGTAAATGAACAAAAAAAACTTTCAAAAATTTATCTTTACGTCATTTTTATGGACAAGTAAATATATATGCCAAGGGTAAAAAAATAGAGAACCCAAAAAACCTATTCAACTAAATAGTTTTACACCGAAAAATCGAATTAGAAAAATTTAAAACAGAAAACAAAGGATTAAGAAATAGTGCTGACAACTTTTGTTTTGAGACCTGCTTCTACTGCATACTGACTGCACCCTGATTTTTCAATTTATGGTTTGATTACTCAGAGCAGTAAAGGTTACTGTAGCAGAACTTACTGTCAACCCTCATAGCAGCATCGATAATCAAAAAAAAAACATACCGATATTTTCGAAAGCATGGTATCCAGATTAGCGATCGTTGCAACATTGGAAGATGCCTCTTTGTAACTAAGATTGAGATAGTGGACAGCAGATGAGAATTCATGAGCCTGAAAATGGCTAACATCTAAATAAATATAATATGCATATAAAAACTATTAGGGAGCATGCAAAATGTAGCCAACCATATGCCTCGCTTTTTTGCCATGAACCGCTCAAAACTCAAAAAGTTCAAAGAACTATTTGCCAAAATATTTTTGCTGAAAAATAATTCAGTATCTCATCCGTGGAGGAGAAATGAACCAAATTTTATCTATTCTTATGACCTATAAACTCAATCCAAATTAGATTTCATCACAATCAAAAACAGTTACGATATTATTTGATCCTTCTATTTGAACTACTTCCACACCAGCTCTACACGCAGTCAGATTATAAATTAGCTTTTTCCTGTGTTGAATCTTTAGAGACAAAAATAAAAAGCGACGGTCGGTTCTAACTAGGGATGATGAAGCCGAGTCTGAGATGATGACCGTACGACACAATCCGTTCTTTCCGGCTGTCTCCAGCTCATGTAGACCATGCATTCTTCATTTCACCCAAATCATTTATGCCCTCTTTTCCACCCCTTTTTTGATGTTCCATTTTCCGGATTATTGTGGTTGCATCAAATGTCTTCAAATAGTTCCTTCGCCGTTGTAAACGCTTCCGTTCGTGTTCTTCACTGCCTCGTCTTCTTTCGTAGATAGATCAACCCATATGTTGCAAAAGACGCTCGAGCCATGCAATCTCCCCTTAGAGTTTATCGTTCAGCAAACCGTTTCCAAAACCATTGTAAAGCAAGGGCGGAGGTGGTGTAGTGGCACGTGACGCACTTCACACACGCATGGCCATGGATCCGAACCCTGGATCAAAAAACCTAAGCCAACCAAAAAAACCTAGGCCAACCAAGCCTTCCATTCATCCGGGTTCGGTGAATGGTTACCGGACTCGTCTGGGATGATGAAAGCACTGACTTGTACATCGACTGGGTACTGCAAGTAATTGTAAAGGCCACATACGCAATATACGCCACTACGATTCTGAATGGAAGCCGAATGCGTGGGCGCATCCCTCAGACGGGATTAACCTCCTCCCAAGGCTTTAAGACTTATAGAGTTTATTGTGAACATTTCGAAGTCGGCCCTACTACTAACAATAAGAAGTCAACTGAGGGCTCAAAAATGTGAACTGGCTCTCGGACGTTTGTAGACGGCATCCTTTAGGTATTTAGAAGGTTTATCACTGAAGTTCAAAATTGGGTAATGTTCCCGTTCCTTTCTTACTCGCGAAAATCCCTATTCAGAAAAAAAGCGATAGATATGACCTAAATAAGAAGAGTACTGGGTGGCGAGTGTTGGCAGAAGTGATAAGCGTGCAAATGGCTACAGGCGCAATCTTCGCGATGAGTTCCTAATTACGCAAGCACTTGGGTAATTTAGAACAGAGCGATACGACAATGGCGGTTCCTTTGATAAGTCCGCCCAAGTCCATCGCTAAGCACACATTACGCAAATGCTGAGGACACTGTACATGAACACGAATCAGCATCTTATGATAATAAATCATCGATTAGCAAATGTAACAATGCTAACGATTGAATCTATTCAACCAGCAATACAGGCTGCAATTTCAATGTGAAATGTGAGTTATTCAAGGAACTGATTTGAAAGGGTTCATTTGGGAAGGAAACTGATGATACCGGTTGTTTTCTTCTCACTGTATTATGCGATGCAGATCTTAACAGGGGTCTTTAGAAGCGCGATTTTTCAAACCCATCACTAACAGCCACGTGTCTCCTTCACGATGATTCTTTAACGAGGCGACATGGAGGAAGCGACATGGCCTTACTGTCGCGGACCGAATGAACACTGCTACTTTTCCCGAGAGGCAGAAGGATTTAGAGATTCAGGGATAAACTCCCTGGTTCCCCTAGAATGAATCGATTCATAATTTCTGTCCCCTAGCAAATACATCCGTGAATGCGTAAGTGGAAAGTTTGCTTGTGCTCTTGGCAACCTGCACAAATAAAAGCTTGCAGTCAGTGACTGGGAAGTACATGGGAGGTGATTCCGATACCTCCAATAAAAAAGTGCCTTGTACATTCTGAAATAGTCTGGCCAGCTACCCCAATCCACTTTTAGGAGCCTGGCAATTAAATTAAGGGTACCCATGCCGAAAACAATAATGTACACAACAATAATAAAGGGCTTTATTTCACTGAACATGGGGAGCCTCCTGTACGGCAAATTTGTGTAGGAGCGCTCGGGAGGGGCTGCTAAAATATTATTGACATGACAACCAGCGTAAAAGAGAAGGACTGAAACGGGGACCTGCATTTTGAATGCCCAAAGGCTTGCATAGAAAGATATACCAAAGATATCACGACACAAGATAGGAAGATGAAGCAGGACATCATCGGACTGACCAAACGAGAAGGCATCGCTTACTGCACGCCGTTTTTGAAACTGAAGAGTAAGTATTCCACGGCAAGTGCAACGGCAGCAGGCGTCGGTGGTGTAGGTGTATTCGTCAGCGCTCAATTGGCTATGAATATCGATTTGACAACTCGAATCTAACGTTTACGATTGAGAAAATGTATCTCAATCCTTGCTCTAACAATCTCCGTTGCCTACGCACCAACATAAAGCTACGAAGAAGAGGAGTTGGAAGCGTTTAATATGGATCTAGAGAGGCTCTACAGAGATGACAATACTTTCGTCGATGTCATCGTCGGTGATTTCAACGCCAAGACTGGCCCAGAAGAACGTCTGACGAGCCATTTATCGGGCCCCACGGAACGGAACGGAATGTGAAGCGAAAGACTGTTCGATTTCATGCAGTTCAGCCACACTATCCATGGTAACTCTTAGTTGCAGAAGCACTCCGATTTACGTGCGATTCATGGGCATTTCCACAATGAAGAAGATCACATAGTCTTCAGTCGACAGTTTCGACTGACTGACTTTGCGGTTGTTCCGAAGTTCTACACGGAATCAGACCACCATCACCTACGCGTTAAATACTGCCTTTCTAGAGCGTGGGGAGAGAGCTGCAAAGTTCAGGAAACGTAGGCCAAGACCGTCATCAACAGGGGCCCCTTGTAGTTACTGGGAGGATTCCTCTAACGACTACATCGATAAAGAATAAATCCGGATCGTCGAACATCTTCACGATAGTGCTGGGAAAGCAGAGTCCACAAGAAAGCAAAAGACGACTCTCTTCGAAGACTTTCGAGCTGACAACGTGGAATCGCGGTAGCTGCAGGCAATAACCAGCTAACGTCCGAACTTGCTAAGCTATGCAGAGAAGCGATAAAGGGACTCCGAAAAGGAGATGAGCAGCAGTTTCGGCCAAAGTGCCGAGGCTGGAAAGAGCATTCCCAAAGTCAGACGGAGCTTAGTCAATCATAACACTAAGATGGCATGCCTTCGTCGTCCTGACGGAACACTCAGTGCATCTCGGAGGGCAATAGAGAAGGTCATCTGCGACTTCTCCTCTGATCTTTTCGACAGCCGACTTCTACCTACCATCTCAGCCAAGAAGTCTATGTCGTTTGTTCAGTTCTTCCTTCCGAAATTCAACATGACATCACTTCGATGACGAATTGAAACGCACCCGGTCCCGGTCTTCAGATGTTCTGGGATAAAGTCAAACTATTAACGAGTCTTTCATCACTTATAGTCAGAACTCTAGCTGACCTTTCACGCGAATGCAAAGCGCCCACGTCGTGGAAAACTAGCAATACTTTGTTGCTGTATAAGAAGGGTGATCCTGACGATATTGTCATCCTGTTGAAGATGATGCGTGTGATTAGTTTGTAAATTACCGACAGCAGTGCTGTTTGTAATCTACAATCTATTCACACGCGCGGAGGACAGCGATGCAATCGAGCAAGGTTTCGCAGGGAGTTCAGTATAGTCGATCACACCCACTCTCACAACACTCACTGAATATCCACCAGAATATAGGATGTCATAATAATAACGTTCATCACTTTCAGGGAGGCCACCGATACAGCAAAAGTTGTAATTAAAGTTCGAGCATACGATGTTCTCCTCAATATGTAAGGATGCACCATTAGATCCACAACAGCTTCAGGACTAAGATTTCGCCATTCTACAAGGATGCTACGGTCACTGTGAAGAGCCCAAACTTTTCAGTGCCGCTCTCGTGAACATCATGCGACATTCAGAAAGAAAAGACAAGCAAGTGATGGTAAATGGCCGTTACTTACATCATCTCCACTTTGCAGCCGATACCGTGTTTAAAACGCATGGGAAAGCGGGGACTAATGCTCGTCGGACTTGAGAACTCTTGAAGGGTCGACTTACTATTGTTTCTACAAAGACGATGTTCATACGGACTGGTACAAACAAAGGAGCATGCACTCAGCGTCATCTAACGAGATGTAGAAAGGGCGATGCTCAGAATTTCCCGATAATGCGAAAGCATAGTAGGATTTAAGGTTCCAAGCTCGTTAGGGACGCCGTTGCTAAAGCGAAGTAACTGAATATATGATGCGCTGGACATGCTATCCCATATTTTGGTAAGCGTGAGACCCAGGCGGTTACTTACCGAATCACAAGGAATGTCAAAGAAACGAGCGGGATGAAGATTCGATTGAAATGAATATCAAAGGCATACATACCAAAGTTCTCACCTGACCGATGGCTATGCTTTCTCCAAGCAAAATCAACCTCTGCACAAGGGAAGAGGATGAGGAAAGATGAGGCTCTTCCATAGATTCGCCATTCAGCCAACATGTCAGCATCTCGAATGCCGAGGTGACGGTCTTCTATAACTTTACGTGAAATACGCAATGGATACTATTCATACAACTACTAATTAAAAACTACTTCGAAACAATATTTAAACCCTTGCACTTGATATGGTAGAAAAAACTCAAAAAATGGCCAAGGATAGGTAACCAACATCGTTGACGGCGTCGCCGGTGAGCTCCAGGCCGGACAAAAATGCGATCACTCCTCCTGTGGTATTGCTTGGCCACGGACGTTGAGGACAAGGTGTGGGCCAAAATACTTTCTCTACTTCAAATACATCAGATTTCACCTGAATAAGAACATCTTCAATAAGGTGAGTTGCAAACCAACAGCACGACTTATACCTGAGTTCCATACAGTCCTGCTGTGCAGCCAGTAGCTACTTCATCCATTGAAATTTTTCCCTGCAAGCAGAGAGGTTCATAAGAACTCCTTCAAATTACAGGATCACTTTAGATACAGCTGATAAACCCAACTATGGAACTGCGCTCTGCAGTGTGTGCTGCAAAACTATCCCCGCATTAATTGGGATCATTCCGGTGAGAGCTTGTCGTTAGCATGCAACGAGTAAGTGTAGTCAAGACTTCGTGGGCTCAAGAGTTAGGAACAGTTACATTGGAATTTGGCTTTACCCTTGTCTCCCAATCCATTGTGTGCGTTTGACAACATGATCTCGAAGACAGAATCGCACCTCCCTCCCTCCCATCCCCTTACCTCTGCATATAGCAATCAGTAAGGATAAAAAGGAGATCGCTTTATTTTAGTGAGCGTCCTGTCACTACGTCGGTTCCAGAAACTACGTTCCACTCTATCGACAAGTAGCTAAGTAGCAAACTATGTATTTCCTTTCGTGAACGCCACTTTCCTAGACTCTGGGATAAGAAGAGTGACCATCTCATTCTTTTGACCAGAATTTAATGTTCTACTCTGTTTGACGTTATCTCAACCATAAAGGGTCCTCTCCTGCTCATCACATTCTGTATGGATTGAAAGCAGCGTGCAGGAAAGAATGGGAAAAGATTGATGCCAAAAACTTGCGGATCGCTGTGAAAGCCCTTCTGAAAAGTTGGAAATTTGTATTCCGGTCAAGGAAGACCACTCCTAATAACACTTCACATAATTGTTTATGCTATGTTGCTCAGCGAATAACAAGACTTCGTCAGAAATCGAGTTCACTCCGCAATTTTGTAAGCACGTAATCACCGGACCACACTTGTAGCCACCCGCAGCTTTCCCAAAAGGAACCATATCGAGCGGACCAATTGGGAAGTGGACACCTCAGCAAACGACGCAGAATCTATATTCATGCGAGAGTATAACAGCAACCACTTCTACCTCAAGCTTCACAATCTGCTTCTCGTCTTCAAATTCCAGAAAATCTTTGTTTGATACAAGCGACATCATTTCGTCCGGATCATAGTCTTCTGGCAAAACATTTTCCTCCTCTGCAATTTCCTGAAAAGGTAGCCAATAACGAAGGAATTTTAGAAAGTTGGTTGCAAATAATAGCCCACTTTCAATACACCAGGTCTTTTGCTGATTCTTTTCTCGATAGATCCAATAACGAAAGCCTTCTCGTGCATATCCAAGTCTTCCAGTTGTTTGTATACCAATTTCTTACCTAGCCATGAAGAAAGAGTCGACAGCGTTGACAAAAACAGAACGTTCGATCTGTAGCTGGCCTACCTAATTCCTTCTGCCCGGCATCCATTATTCTTGCTTTGAGTAAATTCAATCGTGAGACATACACCTGATTATACTGCCGTTCAAATGCATCCTTCTTTTCATCCAAAGTCAGGAGGAATTTCTTGGATCTGTTCGTATAACCTGATTCCATGCAATGCACCATCTGAACACAAAATCAAAGAAAGCGGTTCACCGCTAGCACTGTCTATAAAAGAAGATCACAGATTATCGGATCAGATTATTCATACAAACTGATATGGAAATACAGAGCAATGAAGTAAGAGAGAACGGTATAAGTTGCTTTGTTCATCAATTCAGCTGTTTCCTTCAACTGGAACGAGTTTCGAATTAAGTGCCCCTAGCTAGTTGTTGAGCTAAACCTTGAAAGTAGAACTACCCAAAAACATTGCTACCACCAACCCAGCAGACACACAGTTTGACTTTAATAAGTCTGATTGTCCAGCTCATGTCCCTCCTTTTGTGAAAATTCCGGATAGCTTTGCTATCCTGAAGCATTTTCCTTTTATTAATTATTCAGCATTTCCGGTAGCACCCGGTACTTTCTAGAGAGAAAGTTCCCCTTGAAAAATATCAATACAACATTCACAAAGGGGCTGTAGATTCGCTAGACCAGGAACGAGCCGCTTCAAAACTTCGCAAAACCTGGGCTTCATCCGACGTAGATTATGCTCATTGATTGGGGATTCATCGCCAACGTCATTCATTATAAAGTCCAAGTAAGGAGATAACGTCTATGTCCAGTTGTGGATATCCTGATATAGTGCACGAGAAAGTGCGAGGTTGATGTCCTGCTCATGCCTGACTGCATATCGTAAGAGGCACCATGTAAACCTGTCCACCAATTCCAACAGTTATGGCAAAACTGTCGGATTTGGCAGTAACACTTCTTTAGATTTGCCTTACAGGCCAGCCATTTTTCCAATATACGAATTTCCATGGGTGTTGAACCCGATGGATTTAAGTTTGGATGGAACTATTGTGTTCGAAAAAAAAACTTATGTTATATGGAAGTTGAACGTTCAAAGCGGCAAATAGTTTCTGACCGACCACACGCAAACTTCCAAGACCGAGTTGCCTTACACGACTTTGTGACTGGAAGGAACCTTACAGCTTATTTTCTCAAACGTCGACTCTTCTGAGAATCGCCTATGATTCTTTTGCAACACCCTCAATAGAAAAGGAGCAAAAACAGTAATGTCGTTCGTAATTGGAACGCATTAAGATTGACAAGAAAATATGGCCGAAGGACTGCACAAGCAAAATTGTTACCATGATTTTTGAATGAATCGTTGCCGCCAAAATTACGATTTTTCAAGAAGGGCGAGTAAAATACGCCTTGAACTACACCGTTGTTATAATAGCCATTTTCGTTCTCAACTAACATCAATCGAGCTCAAGCCTTGCTATTTGAACAAACGTTTCGACTTTTTTTCTTTCCAAACGTGTTCTGAATCAGAACAAAGCAAATGGACAAAACTATAATAAAACTAGGAATCTACATGGGTAAAGGTCACTAGTATCTGAAAAGAAAATGTCTAATCAGTGGTCCGTCAACAATTGTGAATCCAGACATGGGACGAATCGCTTCAAATTACCAGATATGTTATGAATCACAACATACGGCAAATTAAGTAACGTTACTGAAGCTCTTACTAAAAAAAGTGTCAAACCGAAAAACGGAAAATTCAGCATACATCTCACTGTTTCCCCCCTGCTCTCACACGCCGCATCGGGTACGAAGTAAGAGTTTTGGTTTTCACACAACCCTGGCATTATAACAGCTTCAGCAGCATAAACTCTACTTTATTATTGAACATAGCATGCACCATATACTCTAAAACAAATACTTAATTTTCAAGGAAATCTCCAACATACTCACCCTTCCCATACATTTGCAATTAAGTTACAACAGCATACATTGTAGAAAGTAAATCATCAGTTCCTTACAGTTGATGTAGCAGCTAGACAATATAGACACGGTCCAGGATGTAACAAGTATTCATGTATCGAGAAACTCTGCATTAACTATCTAGAATTACACGAAAAAGGAAAGGCTCTTAAACGCGCATAGGGCAACTAGATGAAAAAACTCACTAGAATCGTGCTAACTTACGAATGGACCGCGCTTATCACACAACAGAGGAACATACTCATAAGTCAAGACACTAAATAAATAAATAGACCATAGTGAAAACAGACAACGTATTAACAATAAAAAACAATGTGCATCACAATCCAATTGGCAGATTATGTTACTGAGCGTAACAATCCGATCAAGTGAGTATATTTCTAATCTCACGGTGGATATAGCACAGGAAGTCCACATAAGACATGACATTTGGTCCGGAGCGATCCTTAATTGAGTGAGTTACGCATGAATTGTGCAGCGTAACGAAGAAAATCTTCAAACTAAAAAACATACCTCTACAAGGAACTTCTTCATCCATGGTTCTAGTGCATCTTTCTCTCGGATAACAAACAACTTTCTCTTTCGTGGGCCAACCTGAAAAAGTTATGATGCAGGCTCATTCCCTAACCCCTGATAAGAAATAACTACCTCTTGAAGTAGTTCAACCGCTCGGCGAAGACCTCTAGAGCGCGGATTGTCTTTCTCGGGAATCTGAGCCTAAAAGTCGTGTTTTCATATTTCAACATTCAATCTAATCACAATTTTTGCAATTTCTCCTAGAAAGGCACTTACATTCTCCGTATCAAGCATAGCGACGCTGTTAACCCCAAATATATCTTGAATCCAAGATTCAGCAACACCTAGACCAATCCACAGGAAAAGAACAATTCCGTTATCGATCAAGTAAGCCTGCAAACCAGTAAGTAGCGATCAAGCTTAAAATATTACACAATGGCTGGCGAACAGAAAAAGTTACCTTTGTGTTAGAAAGATTGTCGTAGCTAGCCCTAACACTGCTCGCAATGGAAGTGATTTCTTGAGGATCTTGCAGTTCCAAGTGATCAACGGGTGCAATCCTAAATACGGTTATTAGCCGACGTTTAACTAGACAAAATGCAATCGAGTTTTACTTTGGATACAGCAGCAACATGGTGTGATCTATCCGCATTCCACGAATCAGTTCAATCATCCAGACTTTATCATCCACTGTCATTTCACTACCTGTAGCATTTCGAATTCAATGAAAAAAGTCATAACAGATCTAAGAACACTGCTGTACAATAAAGCAATCATATAAAAAGCACCTCCATTGATGGCATCATTTTTGACAATGGAGTTGACAAAGAGAGGCAGGAGCTTCAAGGTTTCGGGTAATATCAACTGACCAAGAGGCGCGGACTCACTGACTTTCTCCCTTAAAAGACGGAGCATTCGAAGAGGCACCAAATAGTAGATTGCAAAAAGCACGAGTTAAAAAGACCTGTATGTTGCAAGTATCTGAGCACATCGTTGGAAAATCTGTTCTTTCATCTCTTTTTGACCTTTTTCACGATTTATTTGTACGGCTGAAACAAAAGAGTAGTATTTACGCAGATAAAAGAGGAAAACTTGATACCATTTTTAAGCAGATATGAGACGAGGGCTCCCTGATCTGCTACTCGGTACAGCTGATTGTAATCGGATGACACGGGGAGACACAGGTTCAGGATCCTCAGGCGACGCTGTCCACTTACGGACGTGAAAAGAACCGCACACTGAAAGACTGCAAACTTACGTATCGTTTCGACTTATACTAATAGGGCAAAGCAATTTTTTACCTCTACAAATTATTCTTGCTTCATTTTTTTTAACTCGTCTTCGATTTAAAATTAGTCATCAATATAATCACCATTACCTAACGCTGCCTATGAGCTAAGTGACCCTCTCCTCCCAGAGCAGGGGAAACTATGAATCGAAGAAAACGCCGACAGCCCACCCAACATCTTCAAGTTTGGTAACTTTTTCATAGCCAGGAGTGCCTAGAGCAGTCCGAAGCGGTAAAAAGTTGATATATGAAAGAGCAAAGCAAAACAGACACGTCTGATCGGACTAAAGTTGCAAAATCCCAGCACGAGTCCATGAATCACCTCTTTCATAATAGGAGTACGTACCATGTCATAAGTTCCGTCAGTGCGACGGCGCCCACAGTATTTTCGCCCACAGTATAGGACTTGCTCGCTGAATATTAAACTGGAGACAAGTTTCTTTACTTTAACATTTTGCGAGCAGATCCTACTCGAAAACACTGGCTACCTTCGTACTTCGCATTAGCCGATGATGAAAGTTATTAGGCCGGTCCATGCTCATCTCATGAAATCGGTGGGTAATTCATGAGACTTATGCTGGAATTCAACGCCTTTATGTGGCTCCACTCTGACACGACGGTTTTGCGTCGCTCATTCGCATATCGATTTCTTACGCTTTCACCTTAGTGCTCAGTAGATAGCGCTAAATAGCGAAGTAGTTCGTGCAGTTCGCGAAAGTGTTCTACGAAGAATGAAGCTAAAGATCTGGCGCATTTTACACCATTGCCGGATTCGAAGGACACTTCGCGATAACTCTATATGCCGTTATTGGCCGATCTTTTATCGGCCACGTTGCCGAATCAGCCCTTCTCCAACAAGTGATTGTCGCAGTAGTATGCCAATTGTTTGGCTCCTAACAGGCAAACACAAGGAAGGTATACGCTTTGATTGCTACCCCAACGCCGCCCACACTTTCGTTGCTTATTATACTTGTTGCGAATCCTCGTTAATCGAGTAGAAAGTAAGGAAATGAAAAGAACAAGCGAGCAAGATGACAGAACATTTTGAGCAAAGCCTCTCAAACAAGTAAGAATATTAAGCCTCTACAAAGAGATTGGGGCTTTTCTGTCTGAGTATAACAAGGACAAGTATCGCTACCGTGCACAGCTGAAAATAACATAATGAACATAGCAGATGTCTTGCACCAAAAGCAAACAAGTTTCCCGATAACCATTTGGACGGACTTGATGCCCTTTAACGATAAGTCCACTGGTGCAAACCATTTGGACGGACTTGATGCCCTTTAACGATAGGTCCACTGGTGCACTTCCGATTTCATGAAAATCTCATAATTACAGATGATATAAATCAGAGTAGAGTATAAGCTCTTATCCTAGATGGACAGTAGCAACCAATGAATGGTACATGTGTGCAAGCTAACTGAGTCTTTTGCACATCAAATACACACCACCCGACAAGCTGTGAAAGGAGAAGAGCAAATGTGAAATGATCAAACAAGCTTATCGACGGTCTTATATCACGCCTCTTCACCCAAGAAACTTCAAACATAAGAGAAACAGCGAACTGAACGTACCTGTATAATTGCATTCTGGTCAGAAAGCTTGTCGTCGTGTTTAAGCTCAGCGAAGAATGTCTAAAACATGATTTGAATAATCAAACACTCAACCAAACTAACAGAGGAAAGTAATATCAGACATGCTGCTGACTTTATCTTCATCTATTGACGCCATTTCCAAATCTGTTGTATTCTCCATGTAAAAGGAACCTTGGAAGATGACGGGGCGAATGCCTTAATGAAAAAGTTATCAGAGCGGTAAAGAAACTCTAAAATCACACTTGCAAAAACCATTACAATGACTACACTTACCCGCACTGGATCGCACCCTCGCCATGCAATCAAATGCAATCTGACGAGATACGTCGTTCGTGAGGTCAGCCAGAAATCGGGGAGCGTCTTTGTCTGCCTGAATGCTATTCGTTAAATCGATGCCGGTTAACGCAACTAGAGTTTCTAAATTGCAAGAAACAAACCACAAAGTACTGATACTTGTAGACATTTCCACCAGTTACCGCCGAAAGCTGAGCAACTGAGGCAACGTCCACAAACGAATTTGGGAAGAGGAAAAGGTCCACAGTCACACCCGCTTTGACACACTGCTCTCCAAGCTTCGTGTAAAACTCTCCTTGCGGTGCTAGAGCAGTCTGCAATTGACGTAAACCATTTCTGCCATTTTTATGGACCTCCACTTTATTTGTGAACAACAAACGGTAAATAGTTAAACCCCACTTATAAAATGACAATAACCACGGGAAGGCTTGCTATTTCCTTCCATGCCCTACCGATTATTGATTTACTACTTTCTACTTTCTCATATTGAGATGGCTCGATTAGATCAAATTCATGCCACTATAACATATGCTAACTTGGCTTTTTGGGCACTTCGAACTTCCCTTATTCACGGCCACCGCCGATCGTTTTTCATTTTCTAAGTAAGCTAAATGAGTATGACGTACACCCCAACTGTAGCATTATCATAATAAACCAAGCAGATGATAAGCAACACAACAAAAGTGTACCTTCTCTTTATCAGTGCCTAGTAAATTTCTTTCATTTCTTGTCTTCAACTTTCCCGGAGCTTCGACGGTAGGCAGTGATGTGGAGAAGACGAACAGCTTGCCAGCACGGTCGGCACACTAAACCATACAAAAAGTCACCCAAATACAGCGAATAAAGCGTATTGGTTGTCATGCCTAAGGCACTATAAAACAGGGGAGAAATTTGGGAAACCAGGACAAAATAGAAAAAAAAAACAGACTTCGACAAATTTGGGTAGAAAACACCATGCAAACCTGCAGAGCGTCGAGTCCAGCTTGCACAACAGGTCCCAGGATTGTTTCCGTCATTCTAGACGATGCGAAAAGACGTGGAATTTCTGCTAGTGCAGCTCGGATCGCTTGCACTGCTTGCGGATACGGCATGAGGAGGCCATCCACAATGGGGACAAACATGTCCTCAACATCGCCTGAACTTTCACAACATGTATAACGAAACAAATGATATTGACAGAATCGGAGTTATGATACGAACCTACTACCATCATAGAAGGTTGAGCAGCAGACAAGTCGAAGAAATGCACAACTTGATCGAAGGTAGCAAGTCCCACATGTATGACCGATTCAGATGCTCCGAGCTCTCTACAAAAAAGTACCAACTCGATTTCGTGATCATCACAGACAGCGTACGTGCACGCACTTAGGCAAACGATGCAGGATCCTCTCCAGATTTGAACAAACCACATGCAGCATGCCATTTTGTATTGCGTTATAGGAGACATCAATCATGAAAATGAATGCTGGTTCCTTCGGAGGCAAGCCATTCTGAAATGAAAGCGTCTATTATGAAACGAAAAAATTCGTTCCGGTCAAATTCAAAACGGAAATTTATGGAAGTAAACAACTTGCCTTACAATATTGCTTGGTAGCAATGAATTCGTAAGCTCCTAAGAACAACTCAGGACGATGATCGATATCAGTACGACGGCCTGTGTGGTCAAGGTGCGCGAAATAGACGTCTTCCACTGAAAACAGTTTGACCACATGAACTACTGAAGGTTGAAATTATGACACAGGATCTCTTACATCAAAATGCCGATAAACACTGTTATAAATTTCAGATTAGTATCGTAGTCTCACTACTTTAATGAGTTACTAGAAAAAGACGGTATTCCCATTTTCAGCAAGACAAGGGAAAAGCGCTGCCGATTTCTGCTACTGCTCCGAACATAAATTTTTCCAATCCCGTTTCAAGTATCCACGAGCTAAAATTCGAATTGTTGCATGCAAAAGTAGGCAAAACAAGTGAGAACTGAAATTTTCGTTTTCGAACGGAAGCTTTTCCTTCGATATTCGGTGGGCTTCTTTAAGTTGTACTGAAACAATAGTGCTCAATTTGAAAAAGAAACACTAGAGGAAGAGGTCGATATATAAGTTTTGTTGAAGGAATTGTGAAGTTGAGCAGCATGCTGGAGATATTTTCAAAACCCTAGGACTGTTCGAAACAACCGAAAGAACCCATGAGTCTCGAAAGGAGTTTAATTTCGGAAACTGACGCATAACGAACACGTCAGCGATTTATATACGTCGAACGCAGGGCCACGACGCCGACAATGACGTCTTGCACCTACTGATCATGCAGGCACCCGATTCCTACGGGTACTGGGAGGGTGATCTAAGCCTTTCCTCATCAAAACTGCACAGCAGCTTTCCTTTTATGTTGTCTACCATGGTAAACGACATCTTCTCTTCAGCAAAGCGAAAAATGAAGTGATCGAGCGAACACGAAAAAAAAACTTCGGACCGCTCTCCCTAAATGCCATATGAAAAAATAGAAACAAAAGTCTCCACACGAACACGATACAGAAAGGAGGCGTAATCACGGAAAGAAAAGAACAAGGTCGGTTATCTAGCGAACCTGGGGTGGATGCATGACAAAAAGGGCAGCGGAAACGACGACCACCATCTTGGAACTCCATGAAGGGGCACATATAGGCTTTACAACGCTGACAACGAACAGGTCCGCCTGGTCCAAGATCAATGATTGGGGCAGGACGCTGGAAAGTATCCATTAAACCCGAGTAAAAAACTATTAAGAACGTAACATTGGGACATAAATCGTTTTGAATTTTATAAAAGAAAAGAATCACCTCTTGCGGATGAAGCGTTGCAAACGGTGAACAAGCTACAGCAAACGGAATCTGCGAACTTTTAAGCAAGTCGTTCGAAGCAGGTGCCATGTACATTGTGGACCTCATTAGTCTTGGAGAGCAGTTTCCTTAAAAATGCATGGAAAAGTTGTTCGAAATCAGCCAGTCAACATAATTAAGGGACCCTGACTATTGAAAATTTGACGGGAGGCGACTCAAAAAATTCTTACCTTGGTCGACGGCATAAAAGTCTGTGGAGACAAGTGGAGGAGGATTTGCATGAGGGTACCCTACAATAAATTGGAGATCACGCAAAAACTACGCTATGGCATGTATAGCAACTCATTCTTACATCAGAACACACCTGTCGGAAATTGCCCAGCTTGCGCAGAATCGATCTCCATTACTTCTACCTGAATATTAGAATCAAATATCTATTGTGTCACAACGATATATTAGATGCTACGCCCTACCGCACTTGGCATCATGTTTGGATCGAGTCGCTGCTGCGGCTGAGGTTGTGGTTGACGAGATTGCATTGAGGGACCACCAGGAGGAATACCAGGTCCCTGTGGAAACCCTGGCATGCCAGGTGGGCCAGCTCCAAGCATACCAGGTGGGGCAGCACCTGGGATTCCACCGGACATACCTGGCTGTCCTGCACCAGGCATACCAGGCATAGCCGGATAACCAGGCATACCAGGAGGACCTGCTCCTGGCACACCCGGCATACCAGGTGGAGCAGCACCAGACATACCAGGCATACTAGGAGGACCTGCTCCTGGCACACCCGGCATACCAGGAGGACCAGCATTAGGCATACCAGGAATACCAGTACCAGGCATACCAGGCATACCAGGAGGACCAGCACTTGGTTTTCCAAGTTGGCCTGTATTAGGCATTCCCGGGGGACCAGTGCTTGGCATACCTGGATGGGCGGAATTGGACATGCCTTGGTAACCGAAATTGGGCATCCCAGGAGTTGCAGCTTGAGGGGCTCCAGGTGCTCCGGGGGCTCCAGGACCAGAACCAGGCAAACCACGAGGACCGGATCCTGGTGGACCGGGCGGAAATCCTCCAGGCATACTGGGAGGTCCAATATGAGACTGATTTGTCATAACTGCAAATAGTAAGTAAAGATAACAAAATGCCTCAACAATTGTTACAATACATACCTGCTCCTGGAGCAGCGGTTCCAGCGTTCGGTTGCGCACTCCCGCCAGTGGTAGGGAAACCCGCAGGGCCATGGGCGGGCATGGAAGGAGGAAATGAAGGAGGAACTCCACCTGAGATGTTTTGCCCAGTACTAGTTTGCTGTTGGTGAGGAGCTTGTGGCGGCTGGAATGCACTTGCTTGTGGATAACCTGGACTTGAGTGATTCTGTTGTCCGCCGGTGCTATAGCTCTGCATCGAAGGTTGACTCGGAGTTGGAAACGCCTGCTGGGGAGGAAAAGGTCCAGAATGGGACTGAGGCGGCATCTGTGGCACAGGGCCATTTGCTTGGGAGGTTGCAGATGCTGTTTGTTGTGGAGTTTGGAAGTTGGCAGTCGAGTGTGGTGCAAAGCCATTCGTCGGAGCCTGTTGTGGATAACCTCCCGCTCCAGGCATTCCATTCACAGTCGGAGGTCCGCTAGGAGGTTGCTGAGATGATGGTGTGGATGTGGGGGCTTGAGGGAACTGTCTCGCTTGATAATTCATAGGTTGAGATTGATTCTGCATGTTTCCCGCAGGTAAATTGCTGTTGTGTCCTTGTGATGGATCGAATGGTGGCTTAGGATATCCTCCAAACTGCGCTGAAACGAGACTCGCATTTTTTATGTTCAAAGTAAGTTAGCAAGTTTCATAAAAACGAACGTGGCGGAGGACCACCCTGTGCGTTCACATTTTGAAACGACTGTCCTGGCTGTCCTTGCATAGCCCCTCCACTAGTAGGGGGGAAAGGAGGCGCAAACATCTCCCTCCTAAAGCTTGGTACATGAGAAAAAAGCAAAATAAATTAAATCGCAAATATGAGTAACAAGGACATTTCTTGTTCAAGACACAATTAAGGGTTGTAAACAAAGTAGAGTATCTAAACACGCGAAAGCCAAAAGGGACACATCATTCTGACGTAGTTTTCAGAAAATGTGCTGTAGCGCACAGAGCCTGGAATGCATCCAAGTTCCATGTCACTGGTGCAAAATGCCGAGGATTCAAGTGAAATGTAGGAGTTTCCATGTAGGACCATTCAAAAGTCCATCGCTATCCGCAACTTCACCCGCGGCCAGATTGTCATTGGAGCGCACAAAACGTAATGCCTCCTTTGCCAACAAACTTGTTATGAAGAATTACTGTCGCCACATATTTGTGGCTACCTCTCATCTTGCTTTCATCAGATCCTTCAATACTTCTAATACTGTTTAGTTACCCTGAAGTGGTTGTATCCCAGTCCCTACGGAATTCTGACGCGTCCTGTTTCATAATAGCTTTCAGTAGACATATGGCCACGATTCCTTCATGTAGTTGATGCCTTTTGTTTGTGTTTATGTTTGACCAGCCCTTTGCGTGGAAATCCCACAATATACCGCCAATTGATTTCCACTTTGTTTGCTTATTTTCACTTCGGTCATAGGCGGAGGGTAGTTAAATCACTTTCCTTTGCGTTTATCTCAGCTGCACTTCGCCCCAAAACAGCAATTTTCAAGGGGCATTTTCCAATTTACAGATGACACAGTGGGGGTGAAAATGTAGTTGGTGGGTGCCAGGCACTTTAGAGCTCTGCGTCTCTTCAATTCTTACATCATCTAACAATCTCACCCATCCCNGAGCTCCTCCCCTTCTAAAAGTTAAGGAAGGAGCTCCGGGGTGGGTGAACCAATTGGATGTTCAAATCTTACCCCATCCCAGCTTTTTGCATGAGATAACCATTTCTCCCACCCCGGAGCTCCTTCCCTAACTTTTAGAAGGGAAGGAATTCATCTCTGCGATCTGTGTGCACTCTGCCGCCAGAGTCAGGGACGCAGAGCACAACAGGGCGCTGGCACCCCCCAACTCCATTTTCATCCACAGTGAGTACTATCAAAAAAGAATTGTTCATTTCAGAAAGGAATATCGAGCACCTCTTCCAGGGTGCGTTAAATGCTGTAGTAGTCAGGCCTGCACCTTCACCAATGCCTTATTTGTCCACGCTTATCTGTCGGATTTCCCTGCACAACGTTGCAGGCCTGTTGAGGCTTTCGTGGATCTCCTTTTTTTGAGCTCACGTCCACTATAGCACAACAGTAAAGTATCCACCTCAGAAATAATCTTTGGGTAGGAAACAAAGAGATGCTATTCGATTATTAGGAACCCGCTGCGTTGAAAGTTCATTTTTCTTTCTTCACCTAAAGCTGACAGTTGGTGTTCTTGTTAGCGACTTTGGAGATTGTGTGTAATGTAGAGGGCCACACTTTTTTTCATCTTTTCCCTTTTTCCTCGATTTTTCTCCATTATGTGGCAATCATTTTAAAATTTCAGGATATTCATAGCATTCCAATTATCTACCTGACGCCCAATCTCCGTGGGATGGGTAATATTTCCTCTACAATAAGTTGATTCTTTGGGTTTCGGAGGAAGCTTCGTGAGCCTTACCTCACTTGTGGTGCGGTTGACTCGAAATTGTCGCTTCGCGGCAAAAGCGACGTCGCGTGGCAGGATGAAGCGGTGGCATCGCAGCGAGTAAGAAATACCGGAACAAAAGAAGTGCAATAGGATCCCATGCCAAAAAGAACTGCATAAACGAGGCAACTGGTCGACGACAGTCGCGTGCAGCGAATCGATCACACAAAACCGATCGCAAAATGAGACACCTGGGAGGCCCCAACCAATGCACCGATCATTCAAAAAAGTAGTTCAGCTCTAAATGAAGGAAGTCGGAGTCGTGACGTCATGCCTCCGTATGTACAGCAAGGAATCGCGAAAGATATTGAGGCTTGAGACACAGAAGTCAGGAGGTTGATTTTGTGGTTTCACATTACACTTTACTTTACTAGCTCTACCAATCTCGGCAGAGAAAGAGTTATATCGAACACCGTGTTTTAACATAAAGTGAATGGTATAGATGTAATGAAGTAAATTGATGTGAGCATTTTATCAAAGAAGTCTCGTACCTCAATACATTTTAAAAACATTCCACATAAAAGTGATCACAGATTGCTGGAGTGAGCAAAACAATACTAACGAATTGGTCATAGAATTAATGGGAATAAATTGAAGCAGTTGTGACGAAACTCGAGACATGATTTAGTAAATTTGTCCGGAAGGTTGAGGTTACTGAGATTTATGGAAGAATGATGATAAAGTACAAATTTTCAATGGGACATGAACACAGAAAAACATGTTTTAGAAAATTTGTCCTTAGCAAGCACGAACCCAACGAATATAGAAACATTGACGCATTTCATATTGTACCAATCAACTCGTCAATTTTCGCGCGCAGTGGCTCCAGTTCTCGTGTAGGGATGAGCTGGAACTGTTGAGCAAAAAGTATGAACTGCTTGAAGGATGTATTCAGATGAGGGGTGGCGTTCAGTTCAGCGAAACGTGCGGAATGAGCAGCATAGACATGAGCGTATATTCGGAAAAGTCGTCGCATTATTCCTTCACACACCTCCATATAATTGCGGGGAAAGGAGCGACCTAAGTAAATTTTTTTTTCACAGTTAGCTGTCACACTAAACCAAGAAATACTTACCGACTTGGGACGGAAAGACATTTTCATCGTCAAGCTGGTCTTGAATCCAAGTCATAATGTAGTCGATGTAGACAGGAGCAGAAGTAGGAATTCTGAAAAATTGGAAAGATAGTAATTTTCAGCATCAGAGTTCAAATGTTGAGGGACCTAACAACAACTGCCCAGGGGAACTGTAGAGATTGTTGAAGGAAATTTCAAAATTCACATCTTGAACCATGCATCAGTGTTCATCGTAATACCAACCCCCAAGTGGTTGTCCTTAAGACCCCAATACCACCACACCTTGGTCATGCATGTCCTATTTTATAGTTATACGCAAATAAATGTATACGATTCGGAATTCGTTACAGCAGGGCAGTTCACAGGTGCGGTTAGACTGTGAGTCTAGTGATCTGAAAACGTCTTTGCTTCATGAGCATGCAGGAAACAAATATTTCGGCTCCTATCATTTAACGCTTTGAAGCGGCTTCAGTGCTGATGAACTATTAGCTGGCATCAAGGAGAAAATGTTTTCGCAATAACACTAAGAAGAATGTTCAAAAAGTTGCACAATTCAGTGTGGTGATAAAGTGCCACGCCCATCTAATGGACTGATCAAACCAACCGCTTCATTTTTCATGTCCTGTCCTAGTACCGCAATCAATCAGTACAAAATTCAGCTACTGTAAATGGTAACTCCCATAAAAAACTTAATTCTCTTTAGGAACTTGAACTCTTATTCATTGAAAACCTTTATGCATTATGAAACAAAGCTGTGGAATAACGTTCTCTACTCAACAGAGTAACACGCTATAAACCGACAAATTCAACTCTAAAGTCTCCACCAAAGAATTATATTACGAAACCCACATCCTCTCATTTTCTGTCCAGAAATACTCGTATGATGGTCCAGCTGTCATTTGTGGGCAATTTTCGTTTGTGCACTGATCCGTAATCGTGCCATACAACATTCGAACTTGGTTGAAAACGTCCATTACTGCAACAACGTAAACAAAATATGGTTATTCAGGTGACTTCATGTGACTAAACTCTCGATCTGGACTTGCTTTGCCCTCTTCTCAATGTAGTCTCTGTGTGAATCAATAGTTGACATAGAAAATACGTATTTTGTCACACAATCCTACACGTACTAGGAAAGTTTTGTTGAAAACTCGTACATTCACGGAGCGAGGACAGACGTTTAGTGATCTTCTTAACTTCTCAGCATTTTAGTAATCTACCACGTGCTACCCGAAAACAAAAAGATTACGGTACTTAGAAAAGTCAAAAATGAAATTTACACCGTTCTAGGAGTGACCGTAAGAACTAACTATTGACAGCGAGCCATTCGTTAATATCTTCTCCAGCAGGTAGCCGTACAACGTCGTGCAGATTTCCGCTGCCCAAAGTGGGAGCAGTTTGCATCATGGTCTCTCCATCACCTGCATGCTGCACACGGTCTCCACGATGTGCACTTCGCAAAGCACTCATCGTGGCAGCTCTTAAAAAATGCGTCTCGAGTGAGTGGAAAACAACCCTGTACCGCCAGGTACTCATAAGACCAAAAATAATTAAATGTTCCAGGAAATAAAATTCAAAAAAATTGATATGAAAGCTCAATTAATAAGACAGTTGCTGTTACCAGAGTAGCTGTTTATGGTCAAATTATGCAAGACAAAGTTTCCGTTCCGCAGTAGTTTATCTCTTATAAAATGAATAACTTAGACAATCGTGGATAATCACTCGAGACATAAACAACACGCATGTTACATAAAGAACAAGATCGGAAAGCAAGAAGGGTTAGCAGATGCTAAACTACCAATCCTAAAATGTCTCAAGTTGTCATCGAAAGGATGGTGAGAATAACTTCAACCTATCTGTGATATTTACCATATTCACATAAGTGGTTCTAAGTTGTGAGACATCTGTTATCTGAGTGACAACAAATCTGTGTAAGGACTGTGGGACTGAGGTGTGAACGAAGAAACCGACCGCAGCCTAATTATCCACAAAACACTATAGGAAGTAGTCTGGGGTTCTTCGCGTGACATGAGGTTCTCCGCGCCTCGGAGCAGGATCGAATTGCAAAAACGAGTACTTTAATTCATCATCCAATTCCACCATGGCTGCTTGGTTTCCGCATCGATAGCAGTAATTAGGAGCGGAAAACACTGTCACTACATTGCGATCATGGCACCAGTTGTAGCCCTAAAAGAAAGATCTTATCAAGTGTCTCCACAAAACACGGCACTATTAAACTTTTCCTGATCCCTAGGTAAGTTCTTTCCTACACAAACTTTAGCGAAACCGTCTGAGGGTTGTTAGTCACCTTGATAACATAGTTACATATTTGATGCTCGCGTCATTTAACTCTAACTAGATCCAACACCCATTTCCACTTGAACCGTTGCAAACCACGTATAACGGTGAAGCAGTGCTTTTTTAACAAATATGGCATTCATTTTCTAATTTACCACATCCTGGATGTGAAACCTTCACTTTGCACTAAACCTTCGCTCAAAAGGAGTGCCATATTCGGCAAAGACAGCCCCGAGTTATTCCACATGCAAGTATGTAACGTTTTCGGGGGTAACGGATCCTCTATACATTGACGCCATGTGGCGCCTACGTTAGAAATGAATAGTGTTGAAATATGAATGAATAGTGTAGAACAGCGTGTCAGGAAACCCCATATAAGGAAGTTACGTATGTCATACATATAAAACGTAATGGCAGAGCAGCGTCACGGTGTCAGAGAACAGTGTCAAAATACTAATAAATAACTAATGAACGTAAAAAAGTTACCTCCATAACAAGTTGATGAGCACGAGATATGAGGGTGAGTCCATTTGAATGGTTGAAGGTCTCAGAGATATCTTGGCCAAAAGTATACCCAGCACCACGAGGTGAAATTCCCCAGCCTCCACGATCATCGGGGTCAGACCAGAGGAGATCACACATTGGTCCTTCGTGAGGTACCTGTAAAAATACAATTGAACTTCATGCAAATGATTTGGGAAGTTTATATTTTATTAGTCATTCCGAGATTAAAAATTACTCCACCAGATAAATGAAGCTACTAACTACCACGAAGAGCTTGACTTTTTAAAAAACGCGCAGACGGCAAAACTGCTGGATTAATTACTTGACTTGAGCTTGCCACGGATTTCATCCGATGAGTTGACTTCAGTCAATCACATTTCACAAGATTGAATTTGAAACAACGACAGAAAGGCTAAGATAGTTACACCCCGTTTCTATTAAATTCGAGTCGTGCCCACACCAACTGCGTTGAACAGGCTTTCTCTAAGTTCTTATTAAAAATGTTACTGCTTAGTCTTGGCATTGCTTTCTTTTACGAACTTCAGCAGTAACAATCACTTGTGGTGCAATTAGCCCTAACTAATCGGAACAGAGCCGTTGAAAAGATGAAAATGAAGCCTGATCCGAACACAAACAATAAGATTGGCTGCTTATCACTCACGACTTTCACTCACACACGATCACTCACGCGACTAAAAAAGTCACGACTCTAACACCTCATCAAATAATACGTTTCACTACTTCCGAAAATTTGTTTTTTATTGGAGCGGTACTCACTGTTGGTGCAGATTTATTGCGTCAAAAGACGAGGGATATCAAGATGGAGTGTAAAGCGCCTGAAGAAAAGCTGCATGGGTGAGTAGCGGGATTGACTGGCGCTTTTCTATGATTGTCCGGATCAATATTAGAACCTTATGAAACCCTCCCTAAATGATTTTTCACCTCCACTACGGATTAATAGAGGTAGTCTCTTGAATTTCACAGATCTTCTCAGCCTTGCTGGCCCTTCCAGATGACGGGATGACGAGAGTCCTTCAGGGGTAAAGAAGTTATTAACAAAATGGGAAGTTGGCAGCTTTTCACGAAATATTTCATCATCATTCCTTCTTTATCAAAAGAAACTACAAAAAGCCGAGTTGTGAAGTCATCCTCTACCATCTTTGGTGTAAATTATGTTTAGTCACATAATTCAACTTTTCTGGGTTGGTATTAGAGCTTTTTCATGTTTTGGTACAGGCTCTAATGGCGAGCGTAACGTAACTTACAAAAAGCTTGTAAAACCGAGTTACATTGAAGAATAACTTTTCTGAGCTTAGTCCAAATCAAATCTTGATGAATAAACAAATAAAATTGGATTTTGCCTGCGGTTAAATAGACATCGAGAGCGTCTCAGGCACAGTGCGAGATAATTTGACTTGAACTTCTATAGACGTAATGGACCAAGAATCACTCAACTTTCAAGCAGCGCTTCTGAAATTAGCCCTAGTTATCAACTAGCAACCACTGACCATTCACGTAAAGCCTAGCGCTAGCAGGGTCTGCTAAAACGTATCCTTCAAATCTAGAGATTGTTCACTTGATATTCCCAGGGAACCGATGTTTGGTTAGAGATTATTGAGTATAGTCCAGGAGTAAGGGTGGTCATGATGGTATGACATGAAAACAACCATAGCATTGGAATTTGAGCACTGTTAGAAGTTAGTTAGCATTAAGGGAACAAGCTTCATTTGATCAATAAGGAGTTGTTTATACTAGCTAATAGACGTTGCTTCTTGATCACATCCCCAAACTGCGAAATGATCCCTAGAATTTTGCAAGATCATGTACACACCAGTTGCAAAACATTTACTAAAACAAAGGGCCATGAGATAAGAAAAGTTATCCTTACCCTTTGCTTTAGTATAAATTTCTGTACAGCGTCCAACCAGACAGAGCAACCCTACGGCCGGTTGTTGACAGACGAATCGTGAGCCCATTAGTGTTCTTGTTTGTCGGCTACTTGTAGTCGACCCCGTCGATGAAGCTTCGCCGCCTTACCGTGAAGAATCTCAGTCGCTAACATCCCTTCAATCCAATAAGGCGCTTCAGAGTGAAGCGTCAAGCGTCTTTGACGCACGGGCGTCCAAAGCGTTCTTCGCTTTTGCGCTAACCGCGTTAAGACCGCACCACCGCTGAAGGCCCTTGCGGACCTAATTTAACGAGACGCGTTCTTTATATAATATACTGTTGCCACGCAATGCCACAGTAGTCAAAGTAGGAAAAAGTTAATTCCCCAAACCAAAAAGAATTGAGAACAACTGGAACACACCCTTTAAAAACCCAAACAAGGAAGTTTTCACCGCAAACTCATGCGGTATCGACAGACAACCTGCGCTGCCGACAGAGCCGTGCGTCACTGATTGACGCTCGACTGTGAAAGTATAAACGGCGTAACGGTAAATAAATAACCAACACCCAGCGTAGTAGCAACATTGGTATATTTTCGTGAACGATCGACGGAAAAATCTGATTTTATCGCATGAACGCACCCAAACCCGCATAGTTGAAAATCACCATAGTGCATAAACGGAAACAGTGAGATACTTCCACTCCAGCATTACGTATGAACGCACACAAATAATACTGCGATTCCCAATCGAAGGCATATAACCGAGCGCATCCCATATCTATTGATTAGAAACCCAAAATTTCATGCTTTTCGCTGTTCCATTTCGAGGAGTAAACTGAGCGGTGATGAGTTCAACTCCATTCTTCACTTCAACGTGGCTTCATGGCGGGGCATACATTTCGGTTGTGTTGGCATTGCAACTGCATTTCAGCTTCTTTAGACTCACTGTTATTCAATTCTTTTTATCTACTTGCATCTTTCACTTTCCTTCTCTTCCATTCTAAAAACTTGAAAAAGCGAACACCTCTCATCCACTGACCAGCACCTAGTATGAGGGTAGTTAATAGCCAACGATTTCATACCAAGTGCGACCTGACGTAGTTCAGCTTCCCCTACAAGGTGACCTACAGACCGCAAAGTCACGTGGCGACCCAACCAAATCGATCTCTGTTCTCTAGCTGCCCCGCTTTAACATTTGGCCAAAATCCCAGGGAGTGAAGTAACTGTGATAGAAAATAAACGGAAAAAGTCTAAACGATGTGTCTATTAACATATAGTTGTAAATTGAAGGGATCAATACGTTTGCATTAACAAACCTCTAAAATATAAGGTCTTAAGCCACTACAATTATAGCAAAAGGATCTACCAAGGGCTGGGCAGGAAAAAGGCTTTGTTACACATTCTTGTTGAAGCCTTAGCTGCAGAAGATTCAAAATAATATAGTTATGTTTAGAACAGTCAGATCTGAATTCTGGTGTGATCGATTCTGAGCCACCCACGCACACAATATTCCAATTCAAGACCACGTATTGAAGCTAAGCTGTGCGTTTAAAAAAGGAAAAGAAAAAATCGAAATAACAGGTGTAGCTATGTGACAACCTCTTGAATGCGATCCAGGGCTCTGATGTGATCAAGCGTGTCGATGGACGGAGACAGCCCACCATGTAGGCAAAATATTTGACCATCAACGAGCGCTGTGAGTGGGAAACAATCGAACAGATCAGTGAAGTACTTCCACACGTTTGAATTACCGTACTTGCGTAGGCACTCATCATAAAACCCGTAAACCTGAAAAATAAAACTTACTACGATACAAACATGGAGGCCACAATTGAATATTTTGAATGAGTTTAATAATGGAACAACTCGGCAGCGACCATTCTACCAGATGCAAGAAAAATAACAACAATATTGGTATGACTGAAAATATGAAATGCTCGCTGTACTATTTAGCAACTAACATGTGTAATTTTGGCATGACACCTTATCGGTCAGAGAGAATCGAGCATGCATGAATTGTCAACGACACCTTTAGGCCTTATTTGGGCTTTTTCGAGATATATTCCATTTTGAACTATGCGTGATTTTTTGCATGAGCAGAGTATAGAGACACCAGCAGCGTGTTTGTATCAGAGAAGGCACCGCAGTTCAAGGAATTATTCACAAAGTTGATCACAACACATACACTTCCATTTGTAACATGTATTTCTGTAACGGGAACCCCATTTTTTGCGAAGATGAGCCTACAGTCTTTTACAAATCCAGCCAAACCTATTTTGTGGGAAATTAGGTTCTCCGAATGTTATTCAATATTCCCTTTTTCCGGTAAAGGAATTTTCTGTCAAAAGACTTGACGCATTCGTTCTCCACTGAAAACGAGGCTTCTTACCACAATAATTGGATATGACATGTAGGAAACTTCACGAGTGACCAAAAAACTGACAACTGAAGTGCTGAACTAACAGAAGAGCAAAGAATTCACCAAAGAATAGCTATACTTATGTAGAAGAACCATCAATGGCGAAGGCCACAACTACGTATTAGGAACAAATCACAATTTCGTATTTCGCAATCTTACAAGTCCTTGCTGCAAGAGGGAATATGATGCAGGACGATAATTCTTCGGCTGGATTAGTTTACATCATATGTCCTAATGAGGGAACTCTCTAGAACATATTTATTTACAACACATTTATATTCATCTATTTACATATTTCGCCAACGAGTATAAGAAGTGTCATCATTCCTGTACAGCGCTTTAAAATAAGTCGGCTGCTTTCCAGAATTGCCAATTCGTGAAGTGAGTTATTCAAACTGGTATTCTTTGAAAAGTAAGCTGAGTCATCCATACGTACCTGAGTAATTTGCCGAGATTCGTGATTACCACGAAGAATAGTGACCCTCTCCTTATACCTGATCTGGAATAGGTGGAAATGACTACTGGAATAGGATCTTAGCAAGCTTCACACCATACCTTTAAGCAAACAAGTAAGCTAACAGTTTCAACAGAGTAGTAACCACGATCGACATAGTCACCCATGAAAAGATAGTTTGTATCAGGGCTTTTACCACCCATTTTGAATAATTCCATCAGGTCATGGAATTGCCCGTGAACATCTCCACAAACGGTTACTGGGCACCGCACTTCTTGTACGTTCGATTCTTTTTCGATAATTTCTTTTGCCTGGAAAACACAATAACAATTATTGAACAATACCAAGATTAAGCATGAAAACTACCTTTTCACATAACGTTTTGACTTGATTTTCACTAAGTTGCTTGCATTCGTAAAGCTGTTCAATCCATTGGTCTACCTCATTGATCATTTTTCGATCGAGAACATCTGCGGACGGCGTCGACTGTACCCCAGATGCCATCTCTACAAAATATGTCGACTAGAAAATAAGGAATCCAAGGATTTATGAAGAGGTAAGCAAAGAATTGAAGCGAGCGATTCATTCAGGTGAAATCACCGTGTTTATTTTGTTAAACTATATCGAACCGAGAACGACACGAAATTCCCCTAAGCACCCATAAACAGCAAAATGTTCAGAAAAAGGGCATGAGGACAAGATTTACTGATATGATATGATGAGTCAATGAGGCGGATCAATAACTCCTCACTGAGTTGGGAAATCTATCGAGCGCCAAGAGCGGCGGGTGGTCCCGCCCTACGCGGGCCGACGCGGCGCGTGCGCTTGCAGGGCTCCCGCCGTGCTTTCATGTTCTCAAATTCGTCCCATTAGGACGGTCATCTGGGCGTTTGAGCCTCTATGAGTGTGAATATCAGTAAATTCATAACATCGTTGAGATTTACTGCTGGGAATTTGGTTGCTTGTTGCACAGTATTTTGTGTGCTTTTACTTCTCCGTTCCCGTGTCACCGTTACTTCGAAAAGAAACTTCTCCACAACATGGGTAGTCGCCAACTTGGCTCAGCTTCCCAATAGAACGCAACTTTGCAATACACCCAAATCTGCTGTCTGTTATATCTCAGAAGCTATGCATTTCATATTCATGCTGTCTCCAAGAGGCGATATTCCCCGAATTCCGAACAATTTGTGTTATTGCTAGATAAAGATTTTACGGAAGAGTGTCAAGAGATTCAATACAAGACCCGCTCCCCATGCTCTGACTAATTGTAAGGGCGAATCGTGGTGATGAAAGTATTCCCGTTGATTGCGAAACCCTCGTTAAAAACCAGCCCGTCACTAATTGTATGGCCAGAGTTATGTAGTTGGACATGTCGGTATCTTCCCGGAAACATTTCCACCTCACCCACATCCCTTGCCTTTTTCGGAGCCCAGTTACTTGAGGATCATCTGTAGTGTACTTGTCCCGGTAGTTGATCGATTTCTTTCTTGTCTCGAGCGAGTGTACGACGGGGAAATATGCAGAAAAATACGTGCAGAAATGAAGTTGTACGGATTGTTTGTGTGCGGATTGTTTGAAAGCTGTAGTTTCTAATCAGGAAGATGTATCAGTTGAAATCCCCCAATCCTATATGAGCAGCACCCTTTTGAATCACTGAGCGCAGAGAAGGAAGAGTAGCCGAGCCCATAATGGTGCTTAGAAACGTTTCATAGCTTCCTTATGTTATAACTGTGTATTTTTACCTAATCATAGGAAGGGAAGGAGCCCCGGGGTGGGTGAGGGAACTGGACATTCAATTTAGAACTTATCTCAGCTTTTTGCACGAGATAACCACGTCACCCACCCCTCCTCTTCTTAAATTAAGGCTAAAACAATATTCTTTCCACTGAAAAGCATCTCTATGAACTAGTAAAGTCGGCCACCCCTCCTTCTCTGCACTCTAGGCGTCAGTGATTCAAAAAGGCGCTACCCCCCCCCCCCCCCAACTTCATTTTCACCACCCATGTTTCGCTGTGACGCTGCAAATAGTGTAGTTCGGTTGGCGGACATGTGTGGAGGTCCACATAATCAGTTTCTGAGAAAGTTTCAAACCCATGACGTAGCATATCCTACTTGTTACAATGTACTAACTTCATCAAGCGAAACATTTGTGTAATCGCTGTTATCCCTAGTTAGAGACTGATCAGAATGTATGACGTAGGGTGAAAATGTAGATGGTGTGGGGTGGGGGCGTCTCTTTCAGCTAAAAACCATCTTCAAACACAAGTAAGATTGGCTATTCCTCTTTCATATGCATAGAATAGTAATAATAAATAATGAAATATAAAAAATGGTTGAGTGGAAAGAAATCCATGTGTAGTCCCGCTGCGAGGGAAGCGAATTGAACAAGCGTACTGTAATTGACGGTAACGAAAGTCCACTGCGGAGACTTGCTGTTGCAGTAACTCACGAGTGGTTCAAGGCTGAGACGCGCGCACACACAACACAGCACCATCCCACGGGTGTGGTGCATTAGGAACGAAGTGGCCGCGTCGCGGTGAGAGGGAGGTCGCGCGCGAAGGAATTTAGCAGGATGCAACAGTAGGAACACCGAATTCGTTGAATTTTGTTTCAACATGAGGTCATTGTACGAAACGGATTATCGTCATGAATTTCTGTTCACTTCATCTGGACTGGTCGCAGAATAATCTAATCCTGATTGATTCAGCTCCTCGCCTCTACCAACCAAGAAGGCCAAGCAGACAATAAGAATTCTACACATCCCTGATGCCATCTGCCTACCTTGGATCTTCAGCACAGTTCTTTCATACCATTTCGTTGCAATTCTTTTAGAGACCCAGCTCACGATAATTTTGGGGCGTCCAGATTATGACGACGAATGAGAGACAAGCTGGAGAATAGTGCGATGAAGGCAAAGGAACGGCGTGAATCAGTGTTTCCAAAGTGAAAAGGCTTCGAAAAAGTCGTTAAAAAAGGGGCCGGACGAGAATAAGACCAGAAAAATGAAGTAGAAAGGGTGTTTGGATCCTGGAGCAAATAGCTGAATACAGTAAGCAAAAATGTCCGTCAAAATTTATGGGCGTGTCATCCGACTCCTCTATAAGGCTCCTATTATGCCCTAGCTCTAGAGGTTTTGGGACCGACATTTCGGCTACCCTTGGAGCCACTGGGTAGTCCAGAATGGAAATCTAAGAGAACGTTTTCATCGTGAACCGTGCATTTGACCTAATTTCTCTAGCATTCAGCTAATTTTAGGGGGAAATCTTGTAGGATACTTATGAAACTATGAATCTTCTAAAGTCACTGAACAGAAACCTGTCATCAAAATTGAAACCCATCCATAAACAAGTAAACAGTAACAGTAAACAAAGCATGGACAGGAGTTGATTCCTCTTCTATCCGAAAGGTTGGTGAAGTATGAGGAATGTGCAACAGAAGTTACGCATGCAAAGGACGAAAACGAACGCTTCTGTGCTCGTCCCATGGACACAGAATGACTTAACTTCGGTTCAGTACCTCAGTTCAGCATAAAAAGTGTGAATGGGAAACTCTCTAGGTCAGTCCACTTATTCGAAGGGTTTCAACCTTTTTATTGATGCGAAGGAAACTCGCTGATGAGGTTTAGCAGTTAGATAAAGAATTTCAGTACTGAAATAAAATGATATTGAAAACCCTAGCCTTGTACCCAGAAATAGGAGCGGAGGTGGTTTTCATTAACACGTTAGTAGCGGGGAAGTCAATCCCTCGCAGTTTTTGCTCACATGCGAATCCCACAAAGGAGGGGAGCATTGAGGTTCGAATGCATATCACGTTTGACAGGGGTGTTGTAGAGCCCCGTGGAGAACTATCGCATGTCGCTTAGTCGAGGGTCGGATCGATGTTCTGAATGAATTCAGGTGGTGGTTGCATCTCGAAACGCTTCATCCCACTAAAAGGCTTTATCCTGCCCTTTTACACACTTTGTGCAATTTGTTTTCCGGTGTTAACGGAGGTAGCTAAGCCGATCAGCGTGAATTAGCTTCACATTGTCAATGAAAGTGCAGCCAACACCTAATAAGAGCGAAAAAGGTTGGTGGTGTACCTGTAGAACAGCTATTTAGGTAGGCTATCTGAACGTGAATTTTAAGTAGTCGATCACTAATTATCATTGATACCGAACCATATATCATTTTATAAACTCAAGGGCTCAATGACTGCTGAGCCCCCATTTCAGAGAGTTGGGTTCTTCTGAGAGAAAACTATTAGACTGGGAAGATTGCATGTGTGGCTGAGGATGGTGAACAACTATGCCGATTCACCTTGTTTGGTGAAAAATAATCATGAAAAGATGGGGAAAGACTGGCTAATCGGTGAAGAAGAAAGTAGATGACTCTCATTAATCCTACATGCTGTGTGGCCTGATCTCAAAACATCCCTTTCGCTATAGTTTGGAATGTGCGGAGCTTTATTCTTCCTCCCCCTGTTCGTCTACTGGCTTCATGCGTGGGATTCTTTGTGGGCTTCTAAGCAACATTTCCAATTCATAGGTTTCTCAGCAACAACATTGCTGCCAGTGGCTGCTGACAAAATACTCGGTAAGATCATTTCTGAATGCAACTGCATGAAAGAAACGATCAAGTTGGATTTGTTACAAAACAACAACGTATGCCTTCCTGCTTCGACAGGAATCGAAGAAATTGACGTGAGAAAATCATCGTCACATGGCTTGTTAGTGTGGTTCCACTCCCTGATATCCATTTATCTGACGACCCTTAAGGATCTTGGAGGAGTAGAGATTTCAAGATCACTAATAGGAAACGAATCTGCATCAATCTAAGCTATTGAAGACGAATCGAACAAAAGAGGTCTTTGGTTGTTCTGCTGAACCCTATCTCTGGTTGTCTGATGAATGACATTGCATGGTATTCTATGTACATATATAATCGGCTAAGTGTGTGTGTTGGTGTTTATATGTGTATGTGTATGTGTGTGTATGCGTTGTGCGTGTGTGTTGTGTGAGTGTTGTGTGTGGAAATTTATAACTTCTCCATCCACGTAAGGAAAGTGTTCCAACTTGGTAGGAGTACAGACGGCAAGATGGGAGCACTTATGGTGGATGAGAGGAACAGGTCCCGCCCACTGGGCGAGATTTAAAATAACAACTCCTGCTCCCCTGCACCTAGAGCGTTAAAATTTATCAGGGGTACAGATGGCAGATTGGCAGGATGGGAACACTGATGGTGGGCGGTAGGACTCGATTCCGGGCGGGCGGCGCGAAAATTGGCAGTTTGGATATGGAGCACTCAAACTTGCTGGGAATAAAGGCGGCAGTATGGGAATGCTGATGGGAGGTGACATGACGCCCACAGGGGGCTGGGCGTGCGCGAAAATTCCTAATTTTGACCCGGGCGTTCAAATTTGGGAGGAGTGCAGGCGTCAGTTCTAAGCCACCGATAGTAGGTAGTAGAGGTGTCTTAACTGGATCCAGTAGTACTTCGAGTGAAACACGCAGTGAAGTTGAAACA